GGATCATAAAGCCACTCTGTAAACCTTCAAAAAGCAAGTTAAATCAGGATGTGTCAGGTTAAGATCTGAACATCTGTTGAAATATTATGTTGACCTCAACATACGAAAACTTCAATGTGACTTCAGTGTGAGAGTTGGCCCTTTGGGAGCATAGGAAAAAAATGTTACAAAGATGTGTTTCTGATGGGTGCTTCAAACAGTCTGCACATAAAGGCTTCAAAACAGTCAGATGCATGTATCCATGTAAAAGCATTTAATGAAACACACACACATCTATAAAGCTCAATGTTTTGTTTTGTAGTCTTTTCCTCTTTCTCCGTGTATCTCCTAGCCATAGTTTCCCAATAATTGCTTCCTATAGGAAAACCAATTAAAATTACACAAAGCCAGCAGTGCTTTTTGGGAACACCTCTTCAGAAAAACTACTTCTACAGCTCCGCTGTCTCTACACCTCCCACACTGTCAGTGTCTCCACATTTCCCCTCAACATGTTAACTGTATGCACTTTTACATTTCATGTTCAGCACGCTGACCGGTGCTACATCCTTAGCAAACCACCTTTATTGCCCATCCCGGACGGATCTCTCTAAGCTCTGTGGTAAAAACCGATGAATGTTCAGAACTATGTCTGGAAGGACAAAGCTCCTAGTTATTATCTTTCATAATCCGTGAGCTTGCAAGCCTGCAAGAGAAACCATTCCAGTTGCAATAAAACCTTGGGCCATGTGGCAACAAGATACAATGAAGGAAAAATTAAGGGGCTGAATGACAAAAGAGGGCTGGGATCTGAACTCCCCAAAGTTCAGTGAACCAAGTACTTTATCAGTGCAGTGAGATGTTAAGAAAAGCAGTCAAAGCTTGTGGTATGGATAGCTACATATGAACCCTCCTCCCTCCACCATGTGGTCTTTGTTTTCAGTGCCACTTTGTAACAACTACAGACGGAGAAGGAGTGTTTATACAGTGGTACCTTGGGTTACAGACACTTCAGGTTACGCGATTTCAGGTTGCAGATGCTGCAGGTTGCGAATGTGCCTCCCACACAGATCATATTCGCAACCCAAGGTTCCACTGTACAAAGGTGGAGGAGTTTAGTGTACCATGATGGAAGCAAACTTCCTTGAGTAGTGAGTTCCTAAAGATGAGCGGTTTCTCTGCAATGGCTGGCTGAAAGTGGCCATCATGTCAAGATAACTAAACAGTATGCCCCATTTTACCATATTTTTCCATCCATAAGACACCCCCATGTATAAGACCCCCCCCTGTTTTGGGGGACTCAGATTTAGGAAAATGGGGGAATTTTTGACAGAATTTTTTAGGGGGGGACTAGTCTTATACACGGAAAAATACGGTATATATGCATATGTGTAAAATGCCACTTGACATTTTGCTTCCCTCTTATGGGACCACAACAAATGTGTACAATTAAAGTTGAAAGAAATTAGGTTATGAGCTACAGAAATACGCGTAGTCTAAATAAATGCAAGCATGAATGATATAGCTATAGGGCTGAGTTGAGGACAATATGGCGGATGAAGCTTGTAGTAAGAAACAAATCTAAGGTGCAAAATAATTTTGTAGAGAAGTCCTGTCTCATAATTCTTGAAATGAAACCTCAACTTTTTTTTTTTGAGGAACCGTTTATGTGCATAATTCTGCATTCAGCATATTAGTGTTGTGCTATTGATATATTCTAGGTGTTGGAAAGTTGTTCTCTTTAGAAATGTATTTGAGAAAAATGGCAAATTCCTTCTAATGATTCCAGCTCTTTGTGTCTCTGCCTCCTACCCTCTTTTCCTACCTTCATTCATTTTGCCGATTTCCTTTTTTGCTTACTGTCGGGTACTATTAAAGCCTTGGAAATGTGCTCAAATGCCTTTGTAAAAAGTTTTACACGTATGCTAAAGGCAATTTCTTACAGACTTTAATGTTTCCATCCATACAGGCAAAAGAAGAATCACTTTGTCTGGGAGAGCAGCCACATTTGCTGTGCAAGAGGGTGCTTCTTCAGCCGCTTAGTTGCTAGAACAAGAACTGCTGAAGCTTTGTGCCTGGGAATTCCAGATTTGCAAGGGCTCCTTGCACTACCTTTTATACTCAGGTCCAGGCTCTTAAGTATGAAACGTATGTCTAGCTGGTCAGTTTTGAGGTGGCCGCCTATGCAGAAATTGCCACTTTTACCTTCAGAAAACATACTTCTGTATGTATAAAACTTTAAAGGCCATCTTAAGAAGTCAAGTATTTCTCTTAAGGAGGAGCATGTGGTTTATCACCACATGCACTTGCCTACCTAACCTTAAGTATTGTTCTGATATTGTAAGCATTGAAACATTGTGCCTATTTGTGCTGAGACTTCAAACGATCGGTAAACTTGTACTGAGCCTCTTTATTTCCAGTCTTGGTTCCTCTTCCCTTGTCTCCTTTTCCTTTTGCGTTGTGACTTTTAGACTCCAAGGTTTCACACAGGGACGGTCTTGTTCTAACTGATTGTATGTAAGCAGCTCAGGGAGCCTCATGAGCAGGTTGCAAGTGCTCTACATGGTAGTAACAATAGTAATAAAGGTGTGTCCTTATGGTAAACTGGTCGTGGGAAACCACTTCAGGTTTTCAGCCTGGTGTACAAAATTGTGCCCCGTGCTTATGATGAACTCCTTTCCTCACATAAGTACATTTGGGCTGGAAACAAGAAGTAAACAGATCAGTCAACTGACTCACTTAAAAAAATGGAAAGAAATCTGTCTGGTGTGTGATGATTGAGATGTTCTGTTGACAATAAATTTCTAAGCAGTGTTGTCACTGTTGTTAAGGGGCATCATCAGCTGTGTCAGTGTCACTCTGAGTGGCTCTGCAGCTTCAAGGTGGGAGAAAGTAGGCAACATGTTCAAGGGAGGCATCCTGCCACTTTGGTCAGGTATAGTCTTTGCATGACCAAGCAGTGCTGCTTGAACCATAAGGACACTGGCCCATTGGGACAGGTAGAAGGTTTTTAATGTATGATGGTTCGCTGTGTTTTTTTATGTTGGAAGCTGCCCAGAATGGCTCGTGCAACCCAGTCAGATGGGTGGGGTATAAGTAAGTTGTTGTTGTTGTTGTTGTTGTTGTCCTGCCTTGAGTCAGGAGGCATCTGCTCAGCAGCCGCAGCTAGGGTTAGGAGAAGAGAATGACTGACCATTCAGGCATTATCAAATGTTGACTGATTTGGAGATACTTGAAACAGATGCCTGTCTTGGCCACATGACACCGGAGTCCTCAGGGCAACTTTTGATAATGCCCTCAGAGGAAGGCAAGTGTACTTCAGTTTCCTGCAAGGCATGCATCGCCCTCAACGTTTCCTCCTCCCATTCAGAAACAGCCAGCCATGCAATCCCCCTAAAGTATATCGAGCACAGACTATATACCCTGTACATGTTCAATATTTATGTGGCGAACAGATTCGTTTACACAGAATCCCGGCAAATCCTGCGGCGGCGAGGCGGATTTATAATCTGACACTTGCCAGATCATAAGAGCAGGATCTGCCAAAAAAGAGAGACTGTCTGTCATCATCAGCCTGGAAGCCTTCCATGGACACGGGAGCCCGGCTGGAAGAAACACACATCTTCGCTGGAAACGGCGAAGCTCCTCCCGACCCATTGCCCAGAAGAAGAGTGATGACTTGGGGAAGGAGCCGCAGATCTCCAGAGAGTGTCTCGTCCTGTTGCCCGAAGCGACTTCATTCACACTGCGCGCCGGGCGCGAGCGCCCCGAGGAAAGCTCTCTAACCTCTCGCTCTTTGTTCCTTCTCCTGCTCAGCTTGGCAAAACCCCTTTAAAGTGGTTCGTGCGGTTTGGTTAGTTAGACACACATACACACTCGCCCGCGCGCTCCCCCTTCCCCTCTCTCTCCCGACAGGAGCTCTGTCAGTTCTCTCTTGAGGGCTGTGGGTAGTTCCCAACCCACAGACCTCGAGCGAGCAGCCGAGCGCGGGACCGCCAGCTACAAAGCCACCGCCTCGCGCTCTTTCCTCCTCACTCGCCGAGAGGCGCGCACGCCAGCAAGAGCCGCTCGTTCGCTGTCCGGGCTCGGGAGCCTCGCCAGGTCTTCCGAAGTGCGCAAAGCGGCGCCGAGGAGAGACTTTGTGCTGCCTGCAGGTGCTTGGGAGCCGCTTGGAGACAAGGAGTTGGCGCCCGGCGTCGCCGGCGTCTTCCTTCCACAACAATCCTTCTCTCTCTCTCTCTCTCTCAGCAGCAGCAGCTGCTTCTGCTTCTCCTCCTCAGCGTCCTTCCCTCTGCGATAACCTGGGCGCGAACTGCTGAGGGGGGGAAAACCAAAACAAAAAAAGACCCGGCAAGGCGAGAGAGCGAAGCCAACCAGAGGACCCGGCGCGAGGAGAGTTTGGGGCGGCGAGAGTGTGAGGGGAGAGCCGAAAGGACGCCAGGAACCGGAGTCCCCGCCCGCTCGCTCTCCTCGCCTGCCCTCGTCCTCAGCCGCCCGCCGCGCACGGAAGGGAAGAGTTGCGCTCGCTGAGGGCGGCGATGACAGCGAGGCGTCGCGGCGGCGCCCTGTTGAGCGGAGCGCACCGGGCGCCCTGAAGAGCGGAGCTCGGAGCTGCCCAATCCGTGCTCCGCGGGGGGTCCGGCGGCGGCCCCTCCCCCCGCCCCCTTTTCCCGCCTTCCTCCCACATGGGGCGCCAGGAGGAGGCTTCCCTCGGCCGCCGGGGCGGCTCTTAGGGAGTGCGATGGGGCGCCTCGCAAAGTGACACCCGCAGCGGCTGCGGCAACAGCGAGCGAGAAGAGGAGGAGGAGGAAGAGAGAGAGCAGGCGGGGTGGGGAAAGAGAGAAATAACAGGAGGGCAAGCAAGCAGTCGGGCGAGCTTTCCCCCCTTCTTCCCGAGGTGCTTCTCAGTCTTTTTTCCCGCCTTAGCTGCTCTCCTCGGGAGCTTCTCCCATGCCTTCCCGGCCCCGGCGGGGGGCGGCGGCGGCAGCCCCGGCGCAGGAGGAGCCGTCTCTGTGGCTCCTCTGATGTCCCTGGCCGAGAAGCGGGAGGCGAGCTTCTCCTTGACGCCCATGATGATCGAGGAGGACGCGGCGCTGAGGAACGGCAGCAGGGGGCTCTCGGGCCAGTGGGCGGACGCGGCGGCCGTGCGGCCGCGCACCACGGAGCGCCACATCACGGTGCACAAGCGCCTCGTGCTGGGCTTCGCCATCTCCATCCTGGCGCTGCTCGTGGTCACCATGATCGCCGTGCTGCTCAGCGTGCGCATCGAGGAGTGCAGCAGCAGCAGCAGCAGCGGCGGCGGGGACGCGGACGGCCCAGCAGGCAGGGCGGGCAACCGGAGCGTCCCGGCAGGAGGAGCAGCTGCCTCGGCAGGAAGTGCCCGCCGCAACCATCCCAGCGCCGGGGAGCCCCCTGGCCGCGGAGGAGTGGAATCGGAGGCGCCTGGAGGGGAAGAGGCGGCGGCGGAGGAGGAGGAGTGGCAGAGGCGTCGGGAGCAGCCGCCCTGGACGCAGCTGCGCCTGCCCGGGCACTTGCGCCCCCTGCACTACAACCTGATGCTGAGCGCCTTCATGGAGAACTTCACCTTCAGCGGCGAGGTCAACGTGCAGATCGAGTGCCTCAACGCCACGCGCTACATCGTGCTGCACGCGCACCGCATGCACGTCGAGGCGGCTCGCGTGGCCGAGGACCGGCTGGCCGGAGCCCTGCGCGTCTCCAGCTTCTTCCTCTACCCGCAGACGCAGGTCTTCGTGGTCGTCCTCAACCGGAGCCTGGAGGCGCACAGAAGTTACAACCTCAAGATCATCTACAGCGCGCCCATCGAGAACGAGCTGCTGGGCTTCTTCCGGAGCTCCTACGTGCTCTACGGCGAGAGAAGGTAGGCACCCCGCTCCCACCCTTTGATCCCTGGTCCTACTACCGCTACAGTATTTCCCTGCCTGTACTGACTCAGCGCACGAATCCATTTGTCCCAGATACCATCCATAAGGGATATCCCCGTTCCCCGATTTATTCCCTACAAAAATGGAAACCATAGGAGCCGCCCCCTTTTCTCTCGTGGTATCCACAACAGCCTGATTTTCAATCCGTGGTTTTCATTAAAGCCCCACTCCCTTTATTTAAGAGAGTAGTTTTTTTATGACTGTCCCTGGGTAATGGATTTTCTGAGCATCTCAGAAAAGGATACTTTTGCAAAAGTTTTCCCCATCATAACTTAAATGCTATCCTCCCCACGTTCCATATTTAGGCTTGTTCGGTTCCTATATGTGCATCTAAAACTCATCCCACAGATGTGATATTTATTTACCCACTGGCTTTTAAAGTACATATATATCTCTTAACTTCCTTGCCAGAAGAGAGGCAGATAGTGGTGGGAAGCTAGGACCCTGCAATCTGGAGGCAGGAAGAGCAAAATGTTGGATCTCCCTTATAGACTTACCGGACTCTTTATGTTATAGATCTTACAGCTGACACTTCTGCCCTTTAAGATGTTTTGATTCTGAGATACAAAGAGAGAAGGTCTCCTGGGATGTGGCCATCGCACAGAAAGGCCACCAGGGTTCTCCTTTTATTCTTCTGCACCTGCCTTTGCATGCTGGGGTCCCCATGCCGCTGCCCCTGCTTTGTGTCGCAGGAAGGCAATGTCAGAGCAGAGGAATTCATAGTACATCAGAGAGACTTGCCCTGGGAAGAACCACGAATAAAAAGCAGGCAGTCCTGCATAGTTAATTCTCTCATGGTGTGGGTGGCACTGGCTTTTATAAAAGCATGAAAGGCAGGATTTCTCATTTTGGATCACCTGATAAGCTGATTTGTCTAGGCACCGGGCAACATCTATGATATGATACTGAGAGAACCTGAGAACCACTTGCAGCTGGCATTCAGGATTCTAGAAAATCAGTACTTGACTAGCTTTGCCACTTTCTCCTGCACTTCAGCGTAATTACCTCCCACCACATTTAACCCCCTTATTTTTCTCTCTCTCAAATAGACACTCTTCACTTTCCCTCATTTGTACAATCAACAAACAGAAAAACTGATAAAAATGGAAGAACGATGCTTTTTTAAAAAAAACTAAACTAAAAAGAAGATAGATTTGAAGAACTTAAAGTTTTAAGTTACTAATGAGGGACTTCCCACAAAATAGGCTACTTGAACCATAGTGTATTAAAGATAGATTTTGTGGTGCGTGTAAGATTCTAAAAGCAGTTCACTGCAGTAACCTGACAACTTAGGTGCCAACTTTATGTTACTGTAAAGCCATGTTTAAGGAAGCCCTGGTGGACTGCACATGTGGCATTTGAAACCTGTGTTTGCAAGGTGGGGGCTGGGGTAGGGGCTGGGGGAGCAGCAGCAGAAGATGGAAGCTTCAGCTGAAGAGTCGCTGGTGGGAGGTGAGTTAAGCAGTTGCTTCTCTGCCATGTGCAGATCCCACCCTCCCAAGAGAAGTCTGCAAGTGAGAAGGGGGAGTTGGGCTTCTCTACTGGGGTTAAATGGGTGCTTTGCCCCTTAATCAACTAAGACAAAACCTAGAGTCTGCATTTTAAAGTTCCTTAAGTGTTTATCTGGCTCTGCTTATACGAACTTACATATCAAAGAATACATGAATCAGCAACTTTTCATCATATGCTACAGTCAGAGGGACAGGCGTGTTTTAACTTTGAGCTCTCCAACAAAATAGTAATGTACACTAAGAGCCGAATGTAATCAAATATTGTAACATGGATCTGATTCACATTATTTGTAGAAATGTAAACAGAATTCATAGAAGTGGCTTTCCTTTCATAAGAATGGGACTTAAAGAGACTTTTCACCTGTTTGCCTTCTGGCTGGGTTTTATTAACAGAGTTTGAGGCAACTCTGAGAGCTTTGTGCCTCTTCTGGTTGTGAGACACTGCATACACACAAGTCTGTGTAAGTGCAGGCTTAGGGTTTTTATTCATGCAGCAAATCAAACATGGAAAGCTAGGCTCTAGTTTAAAGGAAGCAAGGCTGATTTCCTGCTAGCTTTGTTAGCAGAGATCTATACTGAATTTATTTTTAAACTGCTTGTCATTGAAAATCCAACCACAGAATCTTATTCTGTAAACCTCATCATTTCTTTGAGAGTCCCTGCTGAGCAAATGGTTTACTTAAGCAATTGGCACCCAGAAAGTAAGAAGACTGTCTTTCAGCTCAGTTATGCCAATAGCCTCATCTTTAAGCATTCTAATGTTATTACATATATATTAAAAACTCAGTGTTATAATCATGGTCCATGTTAGGATTTTGTCTAATCCGCCATAATGGCTGATATAAAATGTTTTCTTTGCAGAGTTAAGTTTCAGGGAAGGTGCTACTATGTTGAATATTTTATTGCATGAAGATTAGAGTGGGGAAGATATCAACAGTCTTCCTCAGAAACTTTTCTAAGTGATTTATTAGCAGAATAGTATATCGCCTCACCACTAAGATATAAAGCATTTACTTGTATTATTTTCAGATGTTGGTTAACTGTGAAATACAACAAGAAGAAAAGAAATGTAGCAAAATTTTAATAGATCAGTATATTTAGTACATAAATTTTACAGCATAAAGTCTTTACATTGCAATTAAAACATAGTTCTCCAGTGTCCAGAGATAAATTAACTAAAATACAGTCCATTTTTTCAGTTGTATTAGAATTCCCTGCTGCATGATTTTCCTTTCTGAAATGTGAAAAGTTTTATAGAGCACCATGATTTAGAATTCTGTTCCACGAGTCCAGAAAGTGTGGCAACTTGGTAGTACTTTGCCATAAGATGGTTTGAAGCTAACATTATTTAATAACTGCTATGGTGTTATAAGATAGTTGAAGAAATTAGTAATCAGAATGCTAAATTAACACAGACAAAAGTTTACTTAAGTTGTTTGATAGATTTTTGCAGCAGACTTGAAACATATTGTAAAACTTTGATAGTTTTACAATGTAGCAGAATTGAAACATTTTACTTGTTTTGTACATTTGAAACAATCTTCTTCTCTGAGGCCTGACAATGCAATTTCATGGAAAGTTGTACTAACCTTTTCCTAAGTAGGGCAGAGCACTCACCTTAAGCAAAGCAGCAGCTCTTGATTTTATAGTCAAAAGTCATAAATCTCTCTATAAGACTATGGCACCATAGAAATGCTAATTTTTGCCTCTCAGGTTATTTCACCTTTAGTGGAGAAATGAATTGCTTATTCATATATATACAGACACCCACCCACCCCTTGTGCTAGAACATAAGTTTTTTGCTAGAGAACAACATTTTCTTCCACCTAACTGCTTGATTTCCTTTCCCCCCTCATATCCCCCAAGGTGTCAAAATAGACAAGTTGTTGAGAAAACATGTCTACATTTTAATAGAAGATGTAGAATTGATAGTTGCAAATTACAGTCATCTGTACGCAAAGAAGCCAACCTGCAAGTCTTTTATAACTATAATTACACATTTAAGATTAAATCCTGTCATCAGTTTATGTGTGTGTAAGTTTTTATGTGTGAGCAACAGACTGCCATCCTGTATCCAGGAGTAAGTCCTGTTGAAGTCAGTGGGATTTATTTCTGAGCAAGCATGCATAGGATTGTACTGCACATGCAGGATTACAGCATGACAGTTAAAATTGATTTAATTGTACTTTTCTGATAAATGATTTTTTGATCGTCAGGACCTGTAGTATGTCTTCCAGAGCACATTACCTTATGTTGAAATCGCCACGTATTCAGAACCCCAATGTGCCCACTAGCTGTGATTTTTCCCCCCTCCTTTACTTTCATGCAGTATTGGGACATTGCAGATGAGATCGTATTGCATTTTCATGAATGTAACAGATGTGACATAAACATTTGTTACTTGTCGGGAAGTTAATGCAAAGAAATCATTGGTCTCTGGCATGTGTGTTTTAGTATAATGCTTCGAGGACTGAAAATTGCCTTTTAAGAACTTTCATAAAACTGAATTTATCACTAGCTAAACTTCGGTTCCAGTTCTAAATAATTAAAGACAAAAAGCATGTCTCGTATCTTACTGTAGATTTAAAGTAAGTCAAACATTTGCATTTTTGCCTGTTTGGGCATAAGCCCATTGATTCCATTGCTTTTTAGACTGCAAATAGATTAAACAATGCTAGAATGTGTATTTTACTACCATATGTTGCTGAATTTATGATAATTAATTTTGAAAGACAACTTAAACATTCAATTTTATACATGTCTATTTTATACATGTCAATTTTAAACATTTAATTTTATACATGTCTACTCAGAAGTAGACCCTATTGAAATCAGTGGGACTAACTGCTAAGTAAGGTTAGGATAACAGCGGTAGCAGTGCTAGCTTTTATCACAATTGTTCTACCAATGATTTCTTAGTGAATGGACCCAAACAAGGTGGTTTAGATTCCCAGTGATGCTGAATGTTCACTTGATATTGATAGTCAACAAGTAACATACTGAAAAGTTGAATAAGGCCTTCAGAAATATAGTTCAAGAAGGTAAGAAACCTTTAGGTAAAGATTCGCTTTGCCTGTTTATTAATACATCCCTCAAAAGTTCTGTTTTTGATAGAGCAAAATACCAATAACAGAAATCTGAGTAATCTAAGGGCTCACCCACACTTCCACTTGTCCCATGCCTAGAAAGCACGAGTCCAAGCTGTTTTCCACTTGTCCCAAGGCTTGTTATGCACAGGTCTAAGCAGTTTTGCCATTGCCCCACTGTTTTTTCATGGAAAACCTGTTCTTTAGTGCTGAATCAGAGCAAAGGTCAATCCAGAGCAAACCCGATGGATGTTTGCTCCGATTCAGCAGTAGAGATCAGGTTTTCCTGGGGGGAAGTGACAGGGCAAGTGGAAGTGTGGAAAGCCTTTTCAGACGTTGAGAATAAAACTGGTTTTAACAGAGGCTTTTCACCTTGTGAAACTTCGTAGTTCAGATAGGAAATGCATTGCTTGAAAACTAACAATTAATAGTATAGTATCTTGTTAATTTAAGACAGCGATAGAATGTTGCAAATGGAATAGTGCCTTCAATGCACTTCAATGCAAATTACAGTGTTCAAAAAAAATAAAGTAAGATAGATGCTTTTTGCCCATTAGACATTCAGATTTAAGGATGAAGGACACTGAACTCAGACACAGTGTGTCTTTTATATCTAACTCATCCAGGAAGAAAAAGTAGAGAGTGACAGAGGACTAAAAGGTAATCTTGAGCAAGTCAGTATCCCTAACCATATTTTAATCATGGTCAGAGTGCTGTGATACAGATAGCTATGTCCACGTTTCCCAGACTTTTGCATAGTAGGATAATACCTTCAGCATTCACATAATGACACAGATAGCCCTGGGCTTGCACATTCCCTCTCACACATGAGACAATGGCATTGGTCACTTCCACTGCTGGTGCTGAATAAACCACAGTTCTCCATTACAGTTGTACCTTGGAAGTTGAACGGAATCCGTTCCGGAAGTTCGTTCAACTTCCAAAATGTTCGGAAACCAAAGCGCGGCTTCTGATTGGCTGCAGGAAGCTGCGGAAGTTCGCAAACCAGAACACTCACTTCCAGGTTTGTGATGTTTGGGAGCCAAAACGTTTGAGAACTAAGCTGTTCGAAAACCAAGGTACGACTGTATATCTGAATTGGGAATTGTGGTTTCTTCTGTTTCTGGTTAGTTAACGAACTAGGATCTGAAACGAACACTTCATCTTGATTTGTATGAGGGAACCACATTTAGAATAAGCCACAATTTCCTGAGTTCAGACATAATAGGAAACTGCAGTTTATTCTAAAGTAGAAACATTTAAGGGGGAGGAGGGGGCGCAAGCCTGAGGTTTGCTGCCGGTCATTTTCTTACATTTAGCATTGTGTTTGAACTGGGTCAATAATTTTATATAACTGCCCTCATTTTTTTCTTAATGGAGATTTGTTTTATTAATGTTAGCAGTGTTAGGAAATTGTTACTGGTAGAGCCATGATTTGTTCCATTCTGCAATTCAACTCTGCAATAGTAATGAATTAAAAAATAACTTAGTGATTGCAGTTATTTATATCTCATCTTTCAGGATATAGATATTCCCAAGGTGCTTTTCTAATAACAAAATACATTTTTTAAAACCCACAGTAAACACTTACAAATCTCCAGGGTCCTTCTCAGGGCAGGTAGATGTGTGGGGGTGGGGAGTTCAGCTGCAACAGGCTTTTACAACTCCTTCACCTGCCTTCTCTGACAATGAGACTGCAGAAGCGGATTGCGTAAGAATTTGTACTTAAAATGCTAAAGCATTTTTCTCCCCTCCCCCTTCATGGAAATTTATTCTGAAATAAAACGGATTTGTATGCAATCATGTCAATCTGCTGCTGTTTAGATATTTGCTTTGGATACTTTCATTACTTGCAGTACACAACTTTGCCGCTATAATCAATTGCTTGGGAAGGTGTTACTGAGATTTACAGGTATCGTCAACTTTTGGAAATAATGGCTCTCCAAAGCATTCTTAAGCCAGAATACTTTATATGTGGCCCTAAGAAGCCAGTGTACCCTGTCAGCGCTGAAGGCCCTAGAGATTTCCCTGAGGGTAATTAAATCACTGACGCAGCAGTAGTTATTTGTTTTACTTTGTAGGGGTTAATACTGGCTGATGTTCTGTTGGTTTGAGGTTTAAATGTCAACATAAATAAATAAATACTATATCTAGTGCTTCAGTATTTATTTAATGCCAGCATCCTTTCTCAAGTGCTGCTCCTTGCAGACTGAAGCGAGCAGAAGAATTTAGCTGAAAATAAAAACTAACATTGTTGGGGAATGCTTCATAGTGACTTTATTTTGTATATCACACTGCAGTTTCCCCCCCTTGTACATTTCACTATTTTACCAGCTATCTTTGCATTAAGATCTGAATAGAAATGAGTGTTTCTTTCATCTTTTTTGTCTTCAGGTTTCTTGCAGTTACACAGTTCTCTCCTACCCATGCCAGAAAAGCCTTTCCTTGCTTTGATGAGCCCATCTACAAGGCCACGTTCAAAATCAGCATCAAACATCAAGCAACCTATTTATCTTTGTCCAATATGCCTGTGGAAACTTCTGTTTTTGAAGAAGATGGATGGGTTACGGATCACTTTTCACAGACTCCGCTCATGTCCACATATTACCTAGCCTGGGCTGTTTGCAACTTTACATACCGTGAGACTACCACAAAGAATGGAGTTTTGGTAAGTATTTTATTTTATTTTTTAAATCAGCTTACATATATTTATTGAAAAACCTTCCTTTTTGAGGGGGGGAAGGGAAATGACATGCCCCCCCCAATGCTTGCATATTCATTATCTATTACATTTAAAGTCCTTTCTGCCTCCTGGTGAATCTGTTATAGTACAAGCAGAAAGAGCCTAGGATCAGGCTATTAATATCTGCCTTCACTTTTCATTGCTGCTTCCATGTATGAACAAAGGTTATACAGATGTTTGTGAGAGGAATTTGTCTCTCTTAGAAGTGTTAAAGTGCATGGTTTTTTCTCCCTTCAGTTCATGGCAATGTTTTTTTTTTTTTACAAGTAAACAATGCATTTACATAAATACATTCAGCCATCTCTCATTGGAGCTGCTTCGCATATTATCAGTTAGTGTAGTGATGGCCAAACTTGGCCCTCCAGCTGTTTTGGGACTACAACTCCCATCATCCCTAGCTAACAGGACCAGTGGTTAGGGATGATGGGAACTGTAGCCCCAAAACAGCTGGAGGGCTAAGTTTGGCCATCGCTGAAATAGTGTATATATTTCAAGCGTAGCTACAGTGCAGCTGATTACTTGAGGGAATGCTATAAGTTTGGGTTTTATTTTCTGTGTGCATTCTACATGTACATTGTGTGTGGATCCAGTCTCAAGGCTAATTGTGGCTCTGTGTGGTATGTACACATGGTGAAAGAAAGGCATGACTTGCTGGTTTCTGTGTCCTGTGAAGTAGCACTTAGTTAACCAAATATCCTGTGGGCATAGTATAACACCAGTCTGTTTTCTGAGAATTCACATAAACTAAGAGCATTGTGATGCTAGGCCACCACTAAGCATGTAGGCAGTATGCCGCAACTCATGTGTGTGTGATAGCCTGAAGATGACAGTGAGCGGCATAGTAGCTGTTGCTTGTACTTCATTGACCGGTTCCATGTTGGCTAAACAGGTCATTAGCTTAAAAGTAATTATTATCAGAAACAATAACTAGTATTTCTGTTGCAAAATGAAGTTGCCGTTGATTCTTTCTCAGGGCTGTAGTGAGCCAAGTCCTACAAAAGAGTAGACCTATTGAAATTAATGAACCTAAGTTAGCTATGTCTATTTACATCAGTGGGTGTACTCTGAATAGGATCACTCTCAGGCTTTATTCAGTTACTACGGGAATAATTGTGGAACAACTTCTGCTTGGTCAGTTGGACTTACCTCCTTCCCTTCTCACTTGCTCTGTTTGGGGGAAAACCCAGAACAGATTTAGCAGACAAGTGGAGGGAGGAGAGGGGAGAGAGCCCCTTTTGCACGAGCAGCTCTGCTTACGCAAAGAGGTACTTAGTGCTACTTTGAATATAACCCTTATCTATAGAGCTATGCGTAGTTGGAATGTAAAATCTTGAAGGGGTTTCCAGCTGCGCTTTTGGATCACTAGGGAGTGACTTTGTAATGGTTTGCAGGTGTCACGCACAAGGTTCTGCAAAAGCATTTCTTTTTGGAGGCCATACAGTATGCTTCTGAATGCCAGTTTCTAGGAACTGCAGAAGGGGTAAGGTAAAGGGTAAAGGGACCCCTGACCATTAGGTCCAGTCGTGGCCGACTCTGGGGTTGCGGCGCTCATCTCGCTCTACTGGCCGAGGGAGCCGGCGTACAGCTTCCGGGTCATGTGGCCAGCATGACTAAGCCGCTTCTGGCGAACCAGAGCAGTGCATGGAAATGCCGTTTACCTTCCCGCCGGAGTGGTACCTATTTATCTACTTGCACTTTGACGTGCTTTCGAACTGCTAGGTTGGCAGGAGCAGGGACCAAGGAACGGGAGCTCACCCCGTTGTGGGAATTCGAACCGCGACCTTCTGATCAGCAAGTCCTAGGCTCTGTGGTTTAACCCACAGCGCCACCCGCTTTGCAGAAGGGGAGAGTGCTATTATTCTCAGTCCTGCTTGCCGGTATCCTACAGGCATCTGGTTGGCCACAAGATGCTGGACTAGACAGGCCATTGGTCTGATCTATCAGGCTGCTCTTACATTATTTGCAAAGACTTCTTGTAAGCACTGAATGGTTTATCCACCGGCACCCTTCACTTGGTTCTCCACATTGAAGGAAACGTTTGGTTGTCCTGGAATGTGGTTTAAGCTTATTGGCAGCGATCTAGGAGTTCCAATGTGTGTGAGAAGAAACAAAACTGTTTACGTCAGTTTGTTTTGTTTTACAAATCTCATGTGCAGAACTGTGTAATAAGTTAAACATGTCACCAGAAATTCTGCCAGCTAATATATAACACACACAACCTCCTGCCAACTCTCATTTCTTTCTAATGCAGGGAGGAGGGACTTTTCCTTTGCAACAAGCTTAATCCACATAACAAAGCATATTTGTGTTAGAATTGCTGATTGTGACTTGGGCCAAAGAGGTGGAAAGCATCTTCTGCACGCCTGTGAAAAATATCCAGTGTTTGTGTGATTATTTTTTTTAAAAAAGTAATGAACTCTGGAGTGTTTTGTCTTTTGGTGTGAGTGTTCTATAAAAGCAGATAGGATCTGAGGGTAGAGCTTTCCTTAAACATGTAGCACGACCCCTCCATAGAACATTGATGGTGAAGGGCAGGTAATAAAGAAAAAATGATAGTAGTAGTAAATGTGTGTAGGATTTCAATCTTCTGTTTGTTGGGCTGCATATCAAAACCAGCATTAAGTACATTAGAATTTGCTTGGCTGCTAGTTTGAATGGTGTATTTTGTCTTCTCTCCCTGGAGAAATGCATTGTAACCTAAAGATTCTGCTACTTATGCCTTAGCTTTCACATTGAGCTGTAGCTGAGGTCCATATCATAACCATCTTGGCACTTTACTTACTAGTTCAATTTCAGCTGTATTGAGTGGCAAGTCAAGATAGTCCAAAAACAGCAATAACCAGCCATGCTATTTTTTGGGCTGTCTTTTGTGGCTACACTGAAATGACTTGGTGGCCTCACTGAATTAACCTCTATCTTCACAAGATCTTTGTCTTAATTGTAGTACACCATACTTGTAATGGCTAAGAAGTACTTAAGTGATTTGGTCAGGGGAAAACAAAGCATTTCTGCTGCAGCAGTCAAGGGCTCTTGCTGCTTGTTATAGCAAAGGTTCTCTTTTTACCTGCGTCGAAATAAGAGCTGATGACTTGCACTTGAATAGGTCTCAAATTCCATGAAGTAGAGAGCAGTGATGCACAAGCACATTAATTTGTGAGAGCATTGTAAAAATATTGTGGATTAACAAAGCTCATCATTAACCATCTTTGTCTCATAGAAGTTTTATATAAAACAAAAATGCCAGGTACAACCATTCCGTATGCTGCCAGAGTATTGAAATATTACAGTTTCCACTACAGGTGCACATAACATATTATATAGGATGGATTAAAGGATGTGTGGAAGGAGAGCTGCAATTTACTGCCTCACCATTTAAGGGTATGCAGTGTTGCGGGCTGCACTCACTTCTAGGTGACAAAGTTGCACATACTTCCATAGGCCAGAAGATCAGGCTGCTGGATTTGCAAGTGGGTAGTACAGTTATATCTCGGGTTACAGACGCTTCAGGTTGTGTTTTTTCGGGTTATGGACCTGCCGAAACCCAGGACGGGTTACTTCTGGGTTTTGGCAGTCACGCATGCACAGAAGCACTAAGTTGCGCTTTACGCATGCACAGAAGCGCTGAATCGCAACCCGTGTGTGTGCAGACGTGACACTGTGGGTTGCGAATGCTGCGGGTTGTGAACGTGCCTTCTGCACGGATCACGTTTGCAACCCGAGTGTCCATTGTACTCTTCTTATGCTAAATGGTATGGGTGCTATTGCAAGTTAGAGCCAGTGTTTAGTATTTGGCTGTCATATAGAACTTAACTATATAAGTTCAATAAATAATAACTGTAGAAGAGTAGTCCAGAACATATCTGCCCTCTGCAGATAGGCTAATGATTTGAAGACATTTAAGTCATGAACTCAAACCTGTTTGACATTCAATACGCCAGAACACATCTTTAACATATATTTTATTTTGATTGAAGTGTGCTACGAAGTGAGAGGAGAAATAGTTAAGTTGCTCTGTCTCCTAAACAGCTACCCAATTAAAACAGTAGTAATAGTTGCTGTCATAATGGTATAAGTAATAATAATAATAAGTAATAATATTACTTATAATATAAGTAATAGATAAGTAATAATAATAATAATAATGGCAAAGTTTTTATCGGTGGTTGCAAAAACCAGTGATCCCTATATTCTGAACAAAATGCTTGTTTAACTTGGAGGTAGGCTGTATGAATTGTGCATTGCGTTGTAACGATTTGTTGGGTCCCTGGACCGTAATAAAGATTGTTGTTGTAATGATAATAATATAGCACAGAACATCCTAGAAAGCTCAAGGAAATGTCCTGGCATCTTGAAGGGAAAGCCATGCTTTCTTCTTTCTTTTGCACCTTCCTTAATGCCCCACCACTAGCTAATCTTGTTATGGGACAAAACTCTTGAACTCCAATATGATGGTTAATCTGAACATGATTCCAGGCTGGTCAGCTGAGCACAGCCAAGAGAAAACTTCGTCGCTTTGGCATGCTTACTCTACACAGCATGCCACTTCAACTAAGTGGTTCTTTCAAGCTTCATCGGAAAGGAGAAAATTACAAGATACTGTAGAGAGAGAAAGGGGGAAATAAATCCCTAGTGCCATTTGGTATTGCTGTTAGTCAGTTTACATGCATCAAGCTTGCACAAAGGCTGGCACAGTATGTGTACAGCAGCCAAGGGGCATCCTTTCGGAGGCATGCGGAAGAAAAACTCTTCAGCTCCGTTCTCTCCCTTGCTATATCTGTTTTGTAGGGCAACTGCATGCCAGTGTTAGGGTGGATGGTGCTGCACTTGACTCTTAGGATGCTGTTCTAGGGCAGGGCCTCATTTCACAGAAATTTCTTAGAGGGGTAGTTTTGCACTTTGCTTCATAACTTTCTTTCTAGGGGGGCTAGAGTCCTAACTTTTTTTTTAAAGCAACACTCAGAATTTGTGGCCCTTGCCCAGGAGAGTGTTTTGCTGATGAACTCTACAGGTTCTTTAAAGGATCTTTGGTAGTCAATATATGAGGGGAAAGATGTTATTATTTCAACAGAATAGGACAAACTCATTAAACGGTAACAAAAACAAAACAGTAAACCTCCTGAAACCTTCTTACACAATAATACAAAGCCCTCTGCCACCAAGGAATAACCCCAAAGGGACAATTTCAAAGTAATAGTTCCCCTCCACCAGATCTTCACCCACGTACACCACCAGATCCAACCTTGGGAAGCCTCAGCAGTCTTTGGTCCATCATCATCTTCCTCCTGACCACATACCCTTCACTATTTGTGCCTGCCTAACCAGGTGGGGCTGGATATCTGCACGGCTGCCACCTTTGGCAATTAGGACTCCTAATCTGGCAAACCAAGCCCCTTTGTTCCATGGAACCCATGGGTCCCATATTGATGAACCCTGTTAGGTCTTCCCACCTCACACTTACAGACCCTTTGGCAGCACATCTTTCTCCAGCCTTGGTAACTCCTGTGGCCTCAGCACAGGGAGAAAGATTGACTCAAAGTTTTCCAGTCCAACCTTTTTGAAACCAGTGATGTTTTTGATCATACATGCTATGGTAAAAAATTTTTTGCATCGAAATAAAAAACCCAAATGGAAAGTAAATTTCTATTATCCATAGTATTTAAATAATGCAAAGACTTTAGACTACAATACTCTGTGCTAAGATAATTTAAAATACTGAAATATCATTCCAGTCTAGGAGTGAACACTAGTCCTAGTTTGCTTCGAATACTTAAATTCTAGAGGAATAATTGGAACTGAACAGCTAATTTAACCTCTTTTCTATTCCTGGAGAATTTGTAAGCAGTTCACAATTTTTCCCAGTTCATTTGTTATTTAGATTTACTCAACAATTATTCTGCATTTGGGGGCTGATTGCAGATATTCTACACTTGAGCTCTGTGTTGTGTAATACTGAGTGCTCTGATAAATCATGCATTCACGTAGTGCAGGAATTTGGCTTCTGTAGTTATTTTCATCAGTAAAAATGTACTCGCTATATGATTTTTCTAGGAGGCAAACACAAAAGGGATGGACAGTGGCGTAGTAAATTAATCTGAAATGCGAATGAATATTCATAGCGATTCAAGCAGGTCTACGTGTTGCAGCAGATAAGTGGGCACTTACTATTCTGGGTGGGGTATTTCAGTGGAGGTAGCACACAGTTCAGGGCTGCCTTTGTAAATACATAAAGAATTCTAGACACTGATTACTGTCATTCTGGTACTTCGGTAAGCTCTGAAGTCATTAAAAAATCACAAACTTCCTTTGCACTTTGATACAAAGCCAGCTTTCTAATAGCCACCCTTACTTATCCATGTTTTGCTGCAGTGTACAATTTTTGTCTATGTTCTAGGTCACCTAAAATCCCCTAAGGAGTAGAACTGTTGCTCAGTAGAAATTGCTGACTAGATGTACTAAATCGTTTTACTTTTAATGCATGCAGTTATTTCAGTAGAACCCAACATTGTGAACAACTGGATCATGGGTGTGTGTGGAATCTTCCACAAGACCAATGGGTAGTTGTGGATAAAAGTGGTGGGCTTTGGCCAGGGAAAGTTGGGATCAGATGACCACTCAGCTATAGAGCTCAGTGGATTCCTTTGGGCAAGTTGTTCTCATTCACCCTCATCTGTCTCATAGGGTCATTATAAGGATAAAACTGGATAACCCCACACAACCTGCCTGGAAAAGCAGGATACAAATATGATAAACAAATGAAGAGTCTTGTATTAGTGTGCGTGAATGGTATAAATAGGTAGGGGAAAATGTGGAGAAGTCCCTTTCTTCAGTTTTATGCACATGGAAAGTGATAGTGTGATATGCTTGGCATTGTTGTTTTTCACATTATTTTTAGACCTTTCTTTATTCAAGCAGATCTAGAAGCATCCTTCCCATATTCATGCCTCCCACAACTATGTCAGTTAGCTGTAACATCCATTTTTACAAAGTGTTACTGATACTGAAAGAATAGTTTAGAAATATCCACAGTTGAAGTTCCCCACAGAAAGCATCCTTTGTTTAATTTGGAAGTATTTCTGTTGAACTTTGGAGAGGCTTAGAAAGCAGTGGGATGTATTGCAGCTTTTTAAACCTCCCCAAGGCTTAGCATGAGACCTGAAAATAGTTCCTACCATTATCCAGGCTTGGAATAATAGCATGAGCTCTCATGGGGGGGGGGGGAATGTGTCAAGCTGCCAGGCATAGACCCTTGCCTTTTTATTCTCATGGAGCTTGAGAACTATTTTTTTTGGTAAGGTAAACACAGGACCCAATGTGTTTGGGTACCCGTGGGTAATCCAGCTGAGATGTCTAAGAGTTGTTAGGGCAAAATGACTGGCAGGGGAATGTTCAGGTACTTCCTTCCCAGCTTGTTCCTTTCTAATGTGAGTCTCCTTCAGCTGAGGACTTTTTGTAAAGAAGGGCTGTCAGGAGTTTGCTACGTGCAGCTGTAGAGTAGCATGTAGTTGACTTTAAGCTGTTGCTCTTGGGTGGATGCAGGCAGCACTGTGGTGTAAACCACTGAGCCTGGGCTTGCCGATTGGAAGGCTGGCGGTTCGAATCCCTGCAACGGGGTGAGCTCCCGTTGTTCGGTCCCTGCTCCTGCCAACCTAGCAGTTTGAAAGCACCTCAAAGTGCAAGTAGATAAATAGGTACCACTCCGGCAGGAAGGTAAACAGCGTTTCCATGCACTGCTCTGGTTTCGCCAGAAGTGGCTTAGTAATGCTGGCCACATGACCCGGAAGCTGTACACCAGCTCCCTCGGCCAGTAAAACGAGATTAGCACCGCAACCCCAGAGTCATTCATGGCTGGACTTAACTGTCGGGTCCTTTACCTTTTAAGGCAGTGATATAAACTCAGTTATGTAATATAATTGATAAATGGCACCTTAAACATGGGTTGGGGTCACCACAATGGAATGTCTAGGTGCCTCTTTTTGTTTGTTATTTTACAGTGGAATATCATCATCATCATTTTCATTCCTGTTCTGCTTTATATTTTAAAAAACCAATTTCAAAGCAGTTTACAACACATTAACACAACCAATAAAACAATCCAAAATAAAACAAATTCAGGCTTCACGGAAAATATTTCAGACACTACTCTAAGGGACATTTTGCTTTCCCCAAACACCAGCCTGGCATCCACAGATCTCCACATGGTCACAATTGGATCGGTGCCAGTCGCAAAACGCGCCTTGCACCTGCCTAATTTCTAACACTGGACGTAGGGACTTTGCACGTGGTTGCAAATTCCAAAAGAAACGTTGCTATGCATTTCAACTTTTTGGTTTTGACTGTTAATGGAGTACTTCTCTTCTTGGAAATGCCATCCTCAAAGCATCAGCAGAGCATATCACTTGTCAATTAAATTTCTTAGTTCAGAAAGATGAACTTTGAGAAGAGACCATTATAGAATGTATGCATGCCCTCTTCCCTTTTATATGACTACCCAGTCTCTATATGAAATGTGCCATTAAGGAGGGAGCCCGTATGTAGTGTAATCCACAAATAATGCAAGCGGAATGAAATATTAAGGAGAAACCCGGTCGCTGCTCTGGCTAGAGTGTCAATAACTAGCTGCTTGGCAGTGGCTTCCACAAACATAATTCAGTATCTGAGGCAACATGTCATCCTGCTATTAATTTTTCAGCAATATAAAACTGAAGTTAGTTAAAATTTATATTACAAGTAAGCAATAAGTGGGCTCCGCCTTAAGTCTTCGCTGTTCACAGCTGGACTATTTAAATTCCTAAAAATACATTCTCTGTCAGTGAGTCATTGCTTCAATAATAATAAATAAATAATGCTGAAATGTTTTCATGGGTGAGTCAATGCATTGCAGTAGAGAAACTCAGTAGGACATCGACAATATAGGTTTTCTTTTTAAATCCTTCCCTGAAAACACCCACACAGTTTAAACTGAACATTGTGTGTATATGTATATAATAAGCATAATATGAAAGGGTGCATATTTGTATAGATAATATAAAATGAATCGTATTAATCTGACATGGTGAAGTGTTCTGGACCTGTATGATGCTAGGCAAGCATGATTTTGAAATGCCCTAGGACAGAAGCTTACATGTGCTGGACCTATTGAGGTAAGTGATGCTTGCAAAGCGATTGTATCCAAAGCTACAGCTTTTGTTGCCTTTGGAACTTTACTAGGGCCAGATCTCCTAGCAGAGAGGTGTGGAACTTTCAGCCCAAGACCTAATCTTTGCCCACTATGGGGTCAGATTTGTCCCACAAGGCCATTATCTTAGGACCTGACAGTCAGGGCTTCAAAATGCAGCTTCACTGTGACTTTAGGTGATTTGAAAGGCGGGCTGCCCTTTGCAAGGATGGAATTTAGAGCAGAGGAGGGGAGGAGGAGTGCTTAAATTCTTTGTCACCAACCATTTGTCTGCTTCAAATTACTACCAATATTCTTTAACCCCATGGGATTCCAGATGTGGATTTACCATTGCATTTGGGGAATAGCAGCTGGGTGGATGATGAGGACCTGGAGTAGATAAAGGAAAGTTTCAACAGCCTCTTCTACTGCTGCTTATTTCTTCAAGATGTAACTGTTTTTAGCATACAACTCTGCAAAAAGTAGCAGCCTTCTTTATACTTTGCATGCAATGTGTCGTTTGCCCCTTAAGCTGGTTGAGGCTGCCAGCAGAGCGGTAGGGATTTTTAAAAGTTACATTTCAGAATGATGAAAAGTGTCTTGTTGTAATGGTATTTTATTTTATTTGCTCTCCCCTAGTCTATGGATGGAACCAGTACAAGTTTGAGTAAGCAAAAAACAATGTATCTTAGCACATTGAGTACTTAAAAAATAATAATAAGGTGTGTGTGTATTAACAACAAACAATATCAGATTTGCAAACAAATTCACAGAATAGTCTAAAACCCATGAATTGCAAACATACAGCCTATTGTTATTCATCTCCATTTGAATTTGCAAGCTGAATGCACTAGGAAAATACTGTACATACATAGTGCTTACTCTTTCGGGGGAAAACTCCTCAGTCAGCATTTGTGGTACACACAGTATTTAAATGCATACATATATTATCATAAATTCTCTGCTGCTCTTGAATAGAATGGCATTTAATGAAAAGAGGTGCCACATTTAAATCTTTCACCTCTGCAAGCAATTGTAAGCATGGAAAGTGGCAAATGCACAGAGAAGAACTGGATTTTTCAATCTGCCTTAAGTAAAGACTGCTTCATACACTATCAGGGCTGGTCCTACCATTGGACAAAGTGAGGCAACTGCCTCAGCAGCGGATGCTGGGGGTTGGAGAGTGGTAATAAGGGGGCTGGAGGACAGAGCTGTGCGTGCCACTCTCCTGCAAGCTTCCCTGCTGCCCGAAGATGTGGCAGATATTGTTCTGTTGCCAGCCCGGCTATCTTCTGTCTGTGAAATTGGGAGATGGCTCCTTTGCCTCAGGCAACAAAATGCCTTGGACCAACCCTGCACATTATCTTAATCATGTGATCATCATTTCATCACATGGTAAAACTGGATGTTTGGATGCTATCCCTCATGGTCATAGAAATCGTTGAGTTGGAAGGGACCCTGAGGATCAGGAATATGCAGCTGTCCTTTACGGGGATCGAAATGTCAGCTTTGGCATATCATAATCATAATTTATTTGTACCCTGCCCACCTGGCTGGGTTTCCCCAGCCACTCTGGGCTGCCAACAGAGATTAAAAAGACATTAAAACATTAGTAATTAAAAACTTCCCTAAACAGGGCTGTCTTCAAATGTCTTCTAAACTTCAGGTAGTTGTTTTTCTCTTTGACATCTGGTGGGAGGGTGTTCCACAGGGCAGGTGCTGCTACCGAGAAGGCCCTCTGCCTGGTTCCCTGTAACTTGGCTTCTCACAGTGAGGGAACCACCAGAAGGCCCTTGGCGCTGGATCTCAGTGTCTGGGCAGAATGATGGGGGTGGAGACGCTCCATACTCTAACCAACTGAGGTATTATTAGGCAGTGATTTAAGAATGGGTTATGGAGGTGAGAAACACTTTCAGATATTAGTTGCCCCTGAAACGGAATGCATGGGATCTCTCAGAGAATTGCTTTCCTACCCCCATCCCCCTTTTTTTTAATCGGATGAAGCAAAGGTAAATTTATATATTGGCTGAATTTTGTTGACATGGTTATGTGAGCATTCTTATCCTGTGTCTGGATCATAATACAGCACTTCCTAGCTCAACTTGTTTCTCAGCATGTTTTTCAGGATGTTTTGAATAATGACCGCTCCCCGCTTAAAATGGGGGGCGCCCTGTGTGTGGACACACGCAGCCCCTAGATCTGGAGCGGCTCCATCAGCATAGGCTTGGCTTTGCCTTCCCTCAGGTGGGATACCTGGAGGTCTCTGCCTACCTCAGTCAGTTGTCCAATCCCACCTGGGGGAAGCGTTGCCAAGGAGACCAGGCCAGGTAGGGGAGGGATTACCTGCCCACACAATAGAGGGAGGATCTTACCTGGGAATCCTCACTTGGCTCCAGAGCTTCTGGCCCCCCACCCCCCCCCACCCTCAGTTAATGTCTTATTTGCAGGTTAACTTTTCTTCACAGGTTTTGCAGGTTAATTTTACTTCACAGGTATGCGGGCGCTGCTACGTTAAGGTCGCTGTTAAAGGGCCGGAAAGGAATTTCCCTGCATCCCGTAGCAAAACGTCACAACTTTGGCGGTATCAGGCCTTGGGCAGAATCCTTTAGTCCATCTTCCTCTTTGCGGCGGCGATACAAGGGTTCCCCGTTAAAGGGGTTTCTGAAGGGAGGCTTTGACCGTACACCGAAAGGTCGTCATTGTTCTCCCCTGTGGTGGCAGCGTAACGGGGGCGGCTATCTCTGCTTGAACATATGTTCTCCAGAGCCGGCCCATCCCCCCCCCCACACACTGGATAACCCTGATGCTCCCTAGGTCCCCGGCTGGGGACTGGGGAGGGAGAACGCCCATGCCTGAGCCAAGGTCTACCCACATTTGAAATTTAATAAAGTTGTGGCCAATTTAATCCCATAGCACGTTGTCATGAGTCGTTATTCCACATGACGGGGGGACCGCGCGGGATCTGGGGACTCCGCCTGTCCACGCAATTAGCAGGATATGTGGTGAGAGCATTCACAAGTCTGTTTTGATAATGCAGGGAGTGGGGAATCCATTCATGTTGGCTTTACAGAAGAGAATGCTGAGGTAAAAAATGTTGTGTACACCATTACTACAGGTGTAGTGTGGAGTGGAGAGTAAGTCCACTCTGAGAGAAATCCTCAAAGGCATGAATAATACCCAGCCTCTCCCTGCCTTTGTTGATATGTCGTTCAGGTCTGTAGCAAAGTCTTGCAGTCTTGGTACTTTGAGTGAAGAGAAAAACATTGCGGGTCTCCCATCCTGGGTATGGAGAAATATAGTGACAATTACAGTGTTAGTTCTGGGAGCTAAAAGCTACAGTGACCAGACAACCTAGAAAGTTAAGGAGGCATAGTCAGCAGCAGAAGAGACTGCCAGAAGCTCTCATAGAAAGAAAAGTGCCTTACTAATGAACACCCACGCCTGACTCATGGGGGTAGTCTATTGAGGAAATGGGAAAGCCCAGTCACAACTGCTTCCTAGTTGTATGCTAGACACTGGGAGTTGTCAACAGGGGATAGATAGATAGAGACATAGATAGATAAAATTTTATTTGTACCCCGCCCTCCCTGGCCGGAGCCGGGCTCAGGGCGGCTAACATCATAAAACTAACACAGTATACAAAAAATAAAAAAATTCCTTCCAGTAGCACCTTAGAGACCAACTAAGTTTGTTATTGGTATGAGCTTTTGTGTGCATGCACACTACTTCGACTACGGCAGACCAACACGGCTACCTACCTGTAACAGTATACAAAGAACATAAGAACATAAAACAGGAAATCAATTAATTAATATACATCTTAAAATTAGTTCAGAGCAAATTAAAATCTGGACAGATGGCAGTCCATGGGTAAAATTGAGAGTGGATTGAGAGTAATGTGCCATCAGTATGTCGATGACACCCATTCCATCTGAATAAAAGCAGGAGAATCGGGTGCTTGCAAGGTGCTTGGAGATGGTTATGGGCTGGATGTCGGCTAATAAATTTAAACTGAATCTGAACAAGATGTGCTGCATCTTGAGCCTGAGAAGTAGGTAGAAGGGCACTTTTGTATGGGGTTGCTCTCCCCAGGAAGGAACAGGTGTGTAGCTTTGATCCATCTATGTTGCTTGAGGCATTGACGGTTTCGGTTGCTTGGAGTGCCTATTTCCATCTTTAGCTGGTTAGCTAGCCTGTCCTGTATAGGGCTAAGTTGGCCACAGTGACCCAAGCTCTGTTAACTGCAGATTTAACTATTGCAGTATGCTCTGCATGGGGCTGCACTTGGAGACAGCTTGGAAGATGCATCTACTTGCAGCTCTGAGGAAGGTTTCTGCCTATCTGGGTGGGTATGGAGCTGGACTCCTTGTGCATGCCCACACAAGCTCAGGAGTGTGCCAGTTCCATCCAGAGATAAATTCCGGATGAAAAACCCAGTCTGGGCTTTCCAGTAATAGGTGGTGAAATTTTAACGAGGTTGTTCTGGCCACAAAATATTTGTTTTCAAAAGAAACACATGCCTTTTTTTGTTGACAGACACAAAGCAGGTACCAACATGACGCTTGCGTTTTGATATATCTCTTCCATCAGACAATGTAGCTTCTGAGGAAATTGATTTCTTTTTTCCTATTAGAGATCTGCTGGCTGTATGCAATCAAGTTCTTTAGCTGGAAAGGAATATAAAATAGTTTGTGAATCTACCTTTGCCTGGGCCTTCACAGAGAATCAGAATTGCAATGGATCATCTGATCCTATCCCCTGCCTTTAGACAGGAACTTTTTGGGAATGTATCAAAATATCCCATATAAGTCAATAAATGTACTAAGTAATGAAAATAATTATTTTGAAAATCTCAACAGAAGATCTTCTGAGGAAGATTACATATGCTTTAGTTACAAAGTTTTAAAGCACTTTGTTAGCTTGCTTTTGACTTCTTTTCACCCATGTTGCTAGTTCCTATATATGTATATATATATATCTAAACCTGACAAATGTGGACCATGTGATACTTTTGCTCCACAGTTTGATGCCTCCTCTAGCTCTTATAATCTTCTATTCCACTACCTGACACCAGTGATTTATTTCCTAAAGGTGTGAATCCTGCTTTCCTTTATCAGTTTGACCTTTGCTACTGACATTATGAGCAAGCATCATATCCATTATCTTAAAGTGTTTCTGTATGATTAAAAACACTTTCTGTAAAGGGAATGTGAAAGCTAAGTGTAATCTTTGGGCAGAATCTCACCCTAAGAACACAGGAAGGTGAGCACATTCCCGCAGTAGTATGAACATCTGTCAATCAAGCCAGTGTTTTCCTGTGCACCTACCACAGCTGCATCATTTCAGCAGAATGAAAATGGAACTGCTCAGGCGATACTGTGCTCATTGGCATCTGTTTGAGTGACAGATACAGTATTTACGAGACAGGAGAGTGATGTGTGCTTTTATTTATTTATAGAACAGCCTCTCCTAAAGGGTTGAGTATGTTTTAAAACTGTACTTTTTGGAAAGTATAAAGAAATTAGCTGTAGTTTTGTTTACTCCTGTGCTGTGGCAGGAGAGCCAGCGGCTGCCAAATTTCTAGTTTCATGCATGCAACGCGTACTCTTCAATTACCTTCATTCATTTGTGGCTTTGATACGGCCCGTTTTAAGCCTGATCTCTTAGCAAACAGGAACCCAGAAGAAAAGCTGTCAAGAAGGAACAGAGTAACTGACGATGAGCTGACACATTCACACGAAGTGATGCCCTTCATGTGACAGGTGATAGCCCAAAGCCTAAGAAGCTGATCATCTACCAGCTTTGCTCCTGTTGAGGAGGCAATCACAGATTCCAATGGAACTTGATATAGATTACTGATTATTATTGCTGATCAGGATTGGGAGCTTTCTTGCTAAATCAGAAGCACATGGCTGGAAGCAGAGCTCAGGAGTGATCAACTGACTCTTACGGAATGCAGCTGCACATTTCAGAAGTGTACTTACATCAAGAGAACAACGCAGATATTGCATTCTGCAAGTCAAGGTCTGTCACCCCTGCTTTCCTACAACTTTATGCCTTCCAGAGCTCCAATTATCCCAAGCTGCATGGTCAATGGTCAGGGATCATTAGATTTTTGAACTTAGCAACTTCTGGAGAGCAACATCTGTTTTTGACCAATAGTCAGATATGAAATTTTGTGGCCCAGAGAGATGGCTAATAGCTGATCTGATGCTGCAGTACCTCAAACAAACATAAAATTTATGCATACTAATTTTATTCATGTATACTCAAAAATGAGGTTGTCTATGTTCAGTTGGGCTTATTCTGTAGTGTGCATAGGATTACATCATTTTCAATTGATAATTGCAGTTATCACATTAATAGCATAATGCAGGAATGGGGAACTTCTGGCCCTCCAGATGTTGGTGGACTGCAATTCTCATCATCCCTAAGCTGGTTCTGCTGGCTGGGGCTGATGGGAGTTGGGGTCCAATGATATCTGGAGGGCCACAGTTTCTTCACACCTGGCATAATAGCATGAACTTGCCTAAAGGACTGTTTTATGCAAGATAGCCTAACACACAAAGTAATTGATCATAAAGGGTGTTGGCTGTAATGGTTATTTTGACCTTGGGAGTCTGTGGGGACCTCCTTGATAGTACAGGAGTATTCTCAGTGCAGTTTTTTGTTTGATGATATTATTATTATTATTATTATTATTATTATTATTATTTTGCTGCTTTATGCAAAAATTTGCTTCTAAACAAAGCATAAAAACCAATTTTATAAGCACCCATAGTTAAAACACACAGTAAAACAGAGAAAGTAAAATGGGAGTCTCAGGTCGAGAGATCAGGAGAAGGCCGCTCCCCTTCCCTGGGGGGTGGGGTTGCAGGCAGGCCATGTGCTCTCCCCATGTACAGCAGGGGGTGTGGTGATGCCGCCCGCGTCACAAGAAGTCCCAGCCGCGTCCCAGCCCCCGGCTGACCAATCCGGCTGGCCGGGGTGTGTGGCTTGCGCCATTGAAATGGCCATGTGGCTGGGGGTCTCTACCTTCTTGCCTCTTCCTTCCTCGGTGTTCATCTTTCCGATTGGGGAAACAATGTCTGGTTGGCCGATATAATTGAGGGCATTAGGTGTTGGTTGCAGGTGTGAGGGTGTTGCTGGCGAGCTGTTTGGCTCGAGTGGTGGTTAGGCATTGGTAAAACCTGGTTTATAGGAGGAGAGGTGGTGGCCTTCACCTGCCCCTCCTCTTTAAAGGTATTCCATTAAAGGGATCTGGGTGTGTACATCTTGTCCAAAGCCACAACCCCATCGGGGACCCTGGGGGGAGCTCGCAGTTGATGTACATCAACAGGGCTCCCTCTACTGGTGGTTGACCCTTACCAGACTACCTGCATGGTGGGCAGGAGTCAGATATAGTCAGTTCAATTCTAATGCCTAAGCCAATACCGCTCACATCTGTAACCAATAAAGTTGTCTCATTAACCCATTATTTATCCCATTAACCCAAATTTTGGTGTCTGTATGTTTTATTGTCCAAGAAATGGGGGAGGACTCAGGGCCTTGACCTGCAATGGCTGTGCATTTTCAAAAGCTGGTTGAATGCCAGTACGGTCAGGCCTCTTGGATTTCAGCTACCAATGGTGCTACCAATGGAAAAGCCTGCCTCTGGGTCACAAAAAGCCTATACAGTGGTACCTCGGGTTAATAACTTAATTCGTTCTGGAGGTCTGTTCTTAACCTGAAATTGTTCTTAACCTGAAGCACCACTTTAGCTAATGGGGCCACCTCCTGCTGCCGCCGGAGCACGATTTCTGTTCTCATCCTGAAGCAAAGTTCTTAACCCGAGGTACTATTTCTGGGTTAGCGTAGTCTGTAACCTGAAGCGTATGCAACCCGAGGTACCACTGTACTCATCAGGCTGTAGCAAGACTTAACTGGGTGCCAAATGTTGATCTTAAGGCACAACTCTAGCATAAAGAAGAGTTAGGAACATTCTGTGTAACACTTACATGTACTTTGATATTGTATCCAAGTACGGTACTTACAAATAGTTGTGTAAAAGACATTGAAGTGGAAACAAAAGTGCAAGCCCTATGTATCCCATATGGAAAACTCTCGTATAAGAAAATAACTTGGCTCCCTTCTGCTTGTTGGGGCAGCAGAAGTGCTTTTGTACCAATTTATAACCTTCCTGCAGAGATATTAGCTTGTGAGGAAAGAAGGGAAGGAAAGGGCAGAGTGGAGCATGGTTTGTTGCATGGCATCTCGTAGGCCACAGGAGCAACTCCCTAATGGGTAATGTTGGAAAATATTTGCATTGGGAGATTAGTGTGACAGAAGGACTTTTTCTTTTAAGGCAGGTAGTGCAGAACTACACAATTCTGCCTAACTTGCCCAGACAGAACACTGTATAAGCCTGCAGCTGTAGAATTCTGTGATCATTTTATCATTGGGGGCTTTTAAGGAAACATTAATTTACTATTTACCTAAGCCTGTTTTTCTGTGGTCGTGTGTGTGCATACACAAAGTACAGAGATGTTCTAATGACCACAAACAACTGAAACTCTTGTTTGATTTCTCAGTAAAGCTTAGTTAATAAAACATGCTGAGCACCGGGTTCAGTAGAAATGATTTCACCTGCTCAATCCCAGCGTCTCATGTTTCAGCATTTATTATGGTCTTTCTGAGCTTCACCATCTATGGATTTGCACACATTTTTCTGGCTCCCCTGGGCATTGGCTAGATTGATGGCTTGGCATCAGCATCTATTAACTGATACTGCCTATTGTTGTTAGCTTTACATGGTTATGATGTGCAAAACCCATCTAAATCAATTGGACTGAGCATGCATCTACTCAGTTTTTATGCTGTGATGCTTTGCCCTCTTCTGTGTTCATAATTCCTTCTGAAATCAGTTAAATGTATTTGGTTGCAGCTGAGTGGAGGATTATGTAGCCTGATTGAATTTGAAAAGAATGTATGCAAGTCACTTTTCTGTCCTTAATACCACCGGCTTGTAGCACCTTTGACTGCGCTGTGGGATACAACTTTCATGATGCAAGCTTTGAGCCTTACTAGATTATGCATATTCCTTTTTCTTTGATCTTTAGGAAATACTTCCTTATTGTATTTGAATTCACTTCTACTATTTGACAACTACCTATTATTAATTAAATTTATATACTGTGCTTCATCTGAAGATCACAGGGTGGTTTACATCATACCCAGGGACATATTACTAGACCCAGATTGTATGCACTGGACAGTCATCACATTGCCCCAGGTATACAGCAAACCCACCCCCCTAAAAAAAAGAAAGCAGAGAAAGCTATATTGGTTCATTAGGAAAACATCAAAATCCAACAACTGAGAAATGCCTTTATTAGACAAAGTGTGGGGTAAGGCTGTAGCTCAGTGCTACAGCATCCCAAGTTCAACCCCAGACATTGCCAGGTAGGGCTGGGAGAGACTCTGCCTAAAACCCTGGAGAGCTGCTGCCAGTCAGTTTAAGCAATACTGAGGAAGCTGAACCCTTACTCAGTGTCTTATGTTTCTTTCCTATGTTCCAGTCACAAAATGGCAAGCAAGCTTTCAAGTTCTCCCAAACTGATGTGTGGTGTAGTGGTTAAGAGCAGTAGACTCGTATCTGGTGAACCGGGTTCGCTTCCCCGCACCTCCACATGCAGCTGCTGGGTGACCTTAGGCTAGTCACACTTCTCTGAAGTCTCTCAGCCTCACTCACCTCACAGAGTGTTTGTTGTGGGGGAGGAAGGGAAAGGAGATTGTTAGCCGCTTTGAGACTCCTTTGGGTAGTGATAAAGCGGGATATCAAATCCAAACTCCTCCTCCTCCTCCTCCTCTTCCAGTTCTTCTTCTTCTTCTTCTTCTTCTTCTTCTTCTTCTTCTTCTAGTATAGTATCTGTATCTAGCATTGCAGTCAATGCACAGGAACATCATTGTAGATCAGCATTCAGGTAGGGCTGTAGCTAATCCCAAGGTCAACCCCTGGGACCTCCACATAGGGCTGGGAGAAAACCCTTTCTGAAAGCCTGGAGAGCCACTGCCAATTAGTTTGGACGTTGCTGAGTTAGATAGACCCTATGGTTTCACTTGGTATAAGGCAAGTGAATCGTCCTATATTTCCTGCCTTTCTTACATGGAAGAGTAATAATGACATAACGAGGCAAGCATGGGTTCTAGCAATTATGTCCTTATTACTCTGCCATGGAAGAAAGGCAGGAGACATTGGACAATGGTTTTCTCCCAGCTTAGTTGTTCTGCTTTAGGAGACATTAAGCCTTGCTCAAGAAGCAGCACAACAGGAGGGCAGCACCTTTTGAACTGCCACTAAAATTAAAAGCTGCCTCAACATGTACCACAAATCAAACATCAAGAAGGTATGTTTGGGCTGCAGAGTAGAAATCCAACAGCTTATGGTGAGATTTATGCCCAAAATTGAAATGTACATATAGCTTGCTGTTTTGAGGCAAACTTGCAAAATGTATTATTCTAAATATATCTACTATTCCTGTCACCTTCCTAAACTTTCCATGTAGGACCCTTAGTGTTAATTGCAAATTAGATGGGTCTCTGCTCCTGACACACTCAATGGTGAGTACTGTAAGGAAAGTTTGAAGCTGGGGCATAATGAATCATAGAATCATAGAATCATAGAGTTGGAAGAGACCACAAGGGCCATCGAGTCCAACCCCCTGCCAAGCAGGAAACACCATCAGAGCACTCCTGACATATGGTTGTCAAGCCTCTGCTTAAAGACCTCCAAAGAAGGAGACTCCACCACACTCCTTGGCAGCAAATTCCACTGTCGAACAGCTCTTACTGTCAGGAAGTTCTTCCTAATGTTTAGGTGGAATCTTCTTTCTTGTAGTTTGGATCCATTGCTCCGTGTCCGCTTCTCTGGAGCAGCAGAAAACAACCTTTCTCCCTCCTCTATGTGACATCCTTTTATATATTTGAACATGGCTATCATATCACCCCTTAACCTCCTCTTCTCCAGGCTAAACATGCCCAGCTCTCTTAGCCGTTCCTCATAAGGCATCGTTTCCAGGCCTTTGACCATTTTGGTTGCCCTCCTCTGGACACGTTCCAGTTTGTCAATGTCCTTCTTGAAGTGTGGTGCCCAGAACTGGACACAGTACTCCAGGTGAGGTCTGACCAGAGCAGAATACAGTGGCACTATTACTTCCCTTGATCTAGATGCTATACTCCTATTGATGCAGCCCAGAATTGCATTGGCTTTTTAGCTGCCGCGTCACACTGTTGGCTCATGTGAAGTTTGTGGTCAACCAAGACTCCTAGATCCTTTTCACATGTACTGCTCTCAAGCCAGGTGTCCCCCATCTTGTATTTGTGCCTCTCATTTTTTTGCCCAAGTGCAATACTTTACATTTCTCCCTGTTAAAATTCATCTTGTTTGTTTTGGCCCAGTTCTCTAATCTGTCAAGGTCGTTTTGAAGTGTGATCCTGTCCTCTGGGGTGTTAGCCACCCCTCCCAATTTGGTGTCATCTGCAAATTTGATCAGGATGCCCTTGAGTCCATCACCCAAGTCGTTGATAAAGATGTTGAATAAGACCGGGCCCAAGACAGAACCCTGTGGCACCCCACTAGTCACTCTTCTCCAGGATGAAGAGGAACCATTGATGAGCACCCTTTGGGTTCGGTCAGTCAGCCAGTTACAAATCCACTGAGTGGTAGCATAGTCAAGACCACATTTTACCAGCTTCTTTACAAAGAATATCATGAGGCACCTTGTCAAATGCCTTGCTGAAATCAAGGTAGGCTACATCCACTGCGTTCCCTTCATCCACCAGGCTTGTAATTCTGTCAAAAAACGAGATCAGGTTAGTCTGACATGACTTATTTTCAGAAATCCATGCTGACTATTGGTGATCACAGCATTCCTTTCTAGGTGCTCACAGACTGTTTGCTTAATGATCTGCTCCAGAATCTTCCCTGGTATTGATGTCAGACTGACTGGGCGGTAATTATTTGGGTCCTCTCTTTTCCCCTTTTTGAAAATAGGGACAACATTTGCCCTCCTCCAGTCTGCCGGGACTTCGCCTGTTCTCCAGGAATTCTCAAAGATGACTGCCAGTGGTTCTGAGATCACATCTGCCAGTTCTTTTAATACTCTTGGATGCAGTTCATCTGGCCCTGGAGACTTGAATACATCTAAACTAGCCAAGTATTCTTGTACTATCTCCTTAGTTATTCTGGGCTGTGTTTCCTTTGCTGAATCATTTGCTCCAAATTCTTCAGGTCGGGCATTGTTTTCTTTATCGGAGAAGACTGAGGCAAAGAAGGCATTGAGGAGTTCAGCTCTTTCTGTGTCCCCTGTTTGCATTTCACCATCTTCTCCTCTGAGTGACCCCACTGTTTCTTTGTTCTTCCTTTTGCTACGGACATACCCATAAAAGCCTTTTTTGTTGCTTTTAACCTCTCTAGCAAGCCTGAGTTCATTCTGTGCTTTAGCTTTTCTGACTTTGTGTCTACACGTGCTGGCTATTTGTTTGAATTCCTCTTTGGTGGTTTCCCCCCTTTTCCATTTTTTGTACACATCCTTTTTAATCTTAACTCAGTTAAAAGTTCTTTAGATAGCCACCCTGGCTTCTTTAGGCACCTTCCATGTTTCCGTCTCATTGGTATTGCCTGACGTTGTGCTTTACTATCTCCCTCTTAACAAACTCCCAGCCATCATGAACTCCCTTTCCTTTTAGTATTACTGTCCATGGGATCTCACCCAGCACTTCCCTAAGTTTTATGAAGTCAGCTTTCTTAAAGTCAAGAAATTGAGTCCTAGTATGCTTGGCTGCTCCTTTCCGCTGTATAGTAAACTTCAGAAGAGCATGATCACTTGCGCCTAATGATCCTTCCACTTCTACCCCACTAACCAGGTCATCAACATTGGTTAGGACCAGATCTAAAATGGCTGTTCCTCTTGTTGCTTCTCCCACTTTCTGGACAATGAAGTTGTCTGCAAGGCCAGTGAGGAATCTGTTTGACCTTATGCTCTTGGCTGAGTTTGACATCCAACAAATATCTGGGTAATTGAAGTCCCCCATTACTACTATCTCCCTTCCTTTTGCATGCTTGGCCATCTGTTCCAGGAAGGCATCATCTATGTCCTCCGTTTGGCTTGGGGATCTATAGTAAACTCCCACAATGAGGTCACTGTTAAAGATGGCAGGGATAGCTTCAGGGTAAAGGGAAGTGGTTCTTCAGCTTTCCACATCCATTGATAAGTACCAAAAAGAATGTTTTAATAAATGAAAATTGCTACTTTGCCGGCAGGTTAAACAGAAACCTTTTTGGTTGATTAGGGAAGTGAGTGGAGAGAAAGCGGGATTTCTCTCTCTCTCCTTTGGAAGAAAATATCATGCTGTCAGCTGTAATAATGAAATGAATGTGCTAAAAATCAATGTCTTGGGAAATGTTTTGGCTTCAGTTTTGTTAGCTTGTAAAATACTATGGAATAAGGTAAAACCAATAAGTGAACATAACAAAGTGATCACACATACACACACCCAATATTCAATCAGTCCCCAGTTTAAGACCACTATTAGTCTAGTCCGATAGAAATAGTGGCATTTTTGGTATGTCATTTGTGAGAGTGGTGCTATTTACATATGGTTATATGAATCAGTTTTAAAGTTTCAGCCCTGAGACATTATTTCAGTAACTTTATTTCTGGGAGAGCCCAACATCCTTTTAATGCAGCAGCAACTTTATCACATATTTCAACACTGAGGAGTTTGTGAGAGACACGTTAGATGCTCTACTCTTCTATCAGAACTTTAATACCTAGAGGGGTCACCAGGACAGAGTCAGGAGCAGCTGTGGCAAAAGTGATTTAGGTTAGAAATGCAAACACACCCTAATTTGTAGAAGAGGAACTGGATCTGGTTGGTGGGCCAGTTCCTTAATTCCCCCATCCCTTACAGACAGGCTTTAAGCTGTTAAGGAGGAGTTAAAATGGAAGAGGTATGAGGCTGTTGGGTGGATAGGAAAGAGAGAGAATGAAGACTGCTTGTCAGGGATTCCAAGAGGGAAGAAATGAGGAGGTGAGTTGCTTCCTTGTCATTTGCTGTGCTCCTTCCATGGCCCTGTATTTTATCATCTCCTTTTCTGACATTGCATTCTGTCTCCATCCCTATGGCTGGGACTGGGAGCTTGGATGAGACTTCTAGAAGCAAAACAGGCAGCCATTGTTGTAATTACTCTTCCTACCCCATATATGATAACAAGTGAAGAAGTTCAGGGCTATAATCCTCTTCTTCATCTGGTGACCCAACTCTGCCTGCAGTACCATGTGATGTTTTTAAATTTTAATAGTAAGCTTTTGGTGTGCATCTGTTTTGAATGTGGACCACAACACATGTGAAGGGAATGTAACCCTCCCCACTATGCTGTCCTGCTGCAACAGAAGTTCCTGTTGGTAATGGGCCCCTTTTCTGCTACCAATTGCAGCACAGGAGGGCATTTCTTTCTGGAAAAATGTATGTGTGGTACATTTCGTGTCACATGTAGTTAAGTGCTTAGAATGGGCAGACAGATACAGCTCTGGTCATCCATCATAAGGCAGGCAGAAGATAACTGTCTTGTTATTAGTGGAAGTCATTCTGGGGCCCATGAATCAAAAGAAGAAGAAGAAGAGGAGGAGTTTGGATTTGATATCCCGCTTTATCACTACCCAAAGGAGTCTCAAAGCGGCTAACAATCTCCTTTCCCTTCCTCCCCCACAACAAACACTCTGTGAGGTGAGTGGGGCTGAGAGACTTCAGAGAAGTGTGACTAGCCCAAGGTCACCCAGCAGCTGCATGTGGAGGAGCAGAGAAGCGAACCCGGTTCACCAGATTACAAGTCCACCGCTCTTAACCACTACACCACACTGGTGGTGACAAACCTTGCTTCAAAAGGAAACATCACTTGCTGTCTGGAGGGAGGAGACTCCAAGCTGGGGATCAAGCTGAGGTCCCACAAAAATTCCCAAGAGTAAGGGTTCCTCCTTGCCTTCTGGCAATGGAACTGCTGCCACAAACACCTGGTCAGAGGGTTTATATCTAAACAGAACCCTTATGCTATCCAGGAGGAATATCACCCATAATGTGGTCATGCAGGCTTCTGTAGCAGGGTAGCACTGGACTTTAAAGTATTGATGTGCATGCTATCCTGGTGCAGCTATACTCAAAGGTCAGGCACACTGAGTTCAGCAGAGCTTACTTCAAAGTAAGGATGCAAGACATTGCAGTCTTTCAGAAAGCACTGATTTTTGCCATATCAAACCCAACTAAATGTTTTGGAGTTGGACATGTAAAACAATTGCTTCTGAATTGCTGGTTCTGCAACTGCTACTAGGATTTTATTTCTTTATCAATATTATTATTAAACTTATTTATTAATTAAGATTAATTGATGATTATTATTCATTATCATTCTGTGTAGAAAGCCCAGCCCGGCAGTCTAAGAAACATGATTTCTTTGCCCTGCCCAACATTAATAGAAATAAATAATCAAATAAATAAATAAATAAATGACAGTGCATAGATGACTGCTGTGCATTGGAAAAGCACTGAACACTTTTGAGGATTCAATAGTGTCTTCTCTGTACAAACATTGTTAACAGAAAGAAAACATTTTAAAAGGAATTGATTTTGTGTGCATAAAAAATCCTGTCTTTTGCTATACTTGATGCTCATTACATTTCATTGCTACCTTATCAGTATGCGCTATCAGCCAGGTTTCTAAACCAAAAATAAGTAAGTTTTGAAAAGAAGAAATGCCACATAGCTGCTGCTTTGAAAGTTCCATTGGGCTAGAGGTAGACCAACAGTGAGATTCTGAACAGGGATAATGTCATAGAGATGCCTTAACTTTTCAAGAAGAATTCCATGTTACATAATGAATAATATCAGATGTTTGCAAGCTGAACCTGTCACCTGCAAGACATTTACTGTGATCCAGAGAGGTTGAAGTGTGCGCAGAGATGTGCTTTGATGGCGCGGGAGGATGCAGGAGTTGCAAAGATCATCCTTTGGGAACTGATTTGTAAGCACAAGAAAGGTGCTCTGCAAGGAAATAAATCAGGCTCAGCAGGTTGTGTCACCCCCAAATAGATGTTTGCTGCCACTGACAACACCAGTAATAATTTGGCAGATGCAAGGACTATTCTGGTCACCCCACTCCCTAAACTCAAGAAGTGGTCAAAGTGGCTAACTGCCTTTTTGTTTCTTAAGATATGTGTCAACAAGTGCTCTGCAAATTGAGTTATTTGTGTGTCTGTGCAGTTCATGAAGAAGAGCTATTTCATCTTAGGTTGATTTTAACATTATTGTACGTTTCGCTTAAATAAAACACTTGAAGACAATTTTAGATCCTTTGCTGTATATGCTGTTCTTCCTAAATTAGCATTCTTGCTTAGTTTCAAATTGCCAGGCATTATTAAGGCTGTAGCCTTATATGCACTGGCAGCCGGGAATTTTGTAAAAAGAAGAAAGCACCCAACTAAACTATCGAAAGCTTTTATGGTTTGAATGTTTTATTTATTTTTGAATGTTTCCCTCTCCGTGTCTCAGTCTCTCTGCCTCCCGGTTGTATCAGGATGAATTTGCTGTTTTTGTACTCACAATATTTGTTATTGGTATTTCCAAAGGTAATTAACAAACTGAACTGAGTTGAACTGTAGCTGTTCAATCATGCAATGCCATCTGTTCAGCAGGGCAGATTCTTGCTTCAGCAATGTGTGCCCAGACCCCTGCCACATATAGGAGATTTTTGAGTCTGGTTTTTGTTGTAACATTTTCTGCATATCAGTGTTTGGCAGTTAACAGACAACAATGGAGATAGAAATGGAAAGAGACCAGGAGCCCCAAAAGAAACAAAATACTTTTACACACACACAAACGAAATGCAGCTGAACACGGTATGTGACTCTGTGTGCCTTGATTCAACTCATTTTTAAAATAAATATAATGATTTATTTTAGTGCATTGTATCTAAACCTTTTCCCCAACCTCACTAATCAAAACAAATGTAATGGAAGGAGAAAGTTTTCAGCAAAATATATATTCATCCTTCACCTAATGCATCCAAACTATAACTGGTATTGTATGTAGATAGTTTGGATCATACTTTTGCATTGGGTAGATGAATGTCCAACATTGCCAGTGTTCTGAAAAATGGTTGTTGATCACTGCCAAGAACTTGTTCACATTAGACCATAGATACATACCTCCAATAGCTGTGCTAATTCATGAATTTGAACTTAATTTCCCTGGATTCCTGCCTAAAGACATTATTAACCAATTATGTACAGCATTGAAGTTGGGTATATAATTGGAAGTCTCCCAAGCAACTTTCCAAATGACGATAGATTGATAACATTTGGGAAGCTCTGATTATGTACTAGCTTAATCAGCAAGTGCAACAAGCAAGGAATCCCAGTTTTAAAAATTATATTATGACTTCTTGGTTTCCATTTATCTTCTATGATGGAAGATCACATTCTAATCAGATGCACTGTACGTGCGCATGAATGTAGATATTTATTACGAGTAGTGTAAGCTGAGCATTTAATGTGCATTATAACCAACCATTGTGCACATTCATAAGCCTCAGGGAGAATGTGCACATAATCCATCTAAAAAGAGGAAATTGTGCACATTTCCTGGTCAATATCCAACAGGCCTAGGTGAATGTGCGTATGTTGACTTAATTTTGTACATTCTCTGGTCATTATGCGTGATCTCCAACAAGCCTTGGAGAACAATTTCCCTGCTCCCTTGCCTTTTGCACTGAGCAGCAGGGTTATGCATGTAGTCCTGATGCTCTGATGTTCTTCTTCCAAGGTTTAGACTATGCCCATAGCTTATGTTCTTGACCTGCCAACATCCAGCCCTTGAGCCTCGAAAAGATTGCAGCAATGAGAGAAAGAGTGCGCAAGCCTTTTTCCCCACTGAGAACTGAATGATCTTGGAGGTAATCCGTCAACAGTGGACAGGGCCAGAAATGGCAGAGGGTGGGACCAGATATTTCCGCCACTCTTTTCTCTAATCGTAAGAGCAGCAAGAGAAGCAATTTCAATCAGGATTGTGGGACAGGGTGGGAAGGTTTAAAACCATTCCTATCCCCCTTGTGCTGCTCAGCTGCCTGGGAAAGGTTGAGAGTGGTGAAAAGGAGGCTGGACTGCATAAAAAGCATTAATATTTATCTGGAGCCCCAGCTCATCTTTCAGCTGCTCAGCTGATTAGTGGGAGAATGTGTAATGGGCCATGTAAGATTAGGCAGAGATCCAGGAGCAGCCTGGTGGGGGCAGATTGCACGTTTCCTAAAGCTTGTTGGAGATTGTGCATAATGACTGGGAAAGGTGCACCCCTCTTCATGGACACATTATGTGTATATCCCCCATGAATCCTGGTGAATGTGCATAATGATTGGTTGTTATGCCTGCTAACCACTCAACTTACAATACCCCTAACACAGACATTTATTTATTGACTGACTCTGATTGGACTATGTAATTTGCACATCCCAGTTCTCTTAACAGTTAGTTAGCTTGTCCTTAGGATGTTTTACACTAATTGTCCGACAAGGTTACCCCATGACTGTAATCAGCCACTTTCCCTTTTTCCTTATTGAATTAATTGCTGTTCCTTTTTGCTGCCTAAATTTTTAACTATATCTCTGTTTTTTTATGTAAAAAGGAACCCTTATTCTATTTCCTTTCTTTTTCATGGAGAAATGTGTTTCTCTAGAAATAAAGGTCCAAATTCTTGAAATACAGAAGACATGAGGATTTCTCATTAATACCTGCCACATTTTTAATTATGGCAATCCATATATGCTCCTAAGAGTATTGAGGTTATGGCTGGGCAAGTTAGAATGATAATAATAAAGATACAGCAACATAACTCATAGGAATCCACTTGTGTATTTGGAGAATGTGGCTTGAAGCTTACAGCTGGCAATGCACTGCTAGTTGAAAAATTGTGACCGAGAATAACTTGTTCACAAATCGAATGTAGAATAAGGACTTACTGATTTAAGACAGTTATTTCATTTCTGTAATTGTTATTAAATAATCAATGTATTCTGTTTCTCAAACACCTTCCTTATTACAGGACTGCAGTGTGTGCATATCTGACTGTACCAGTAATGGAAAAAGCAATATCACATCCGTTGCAAGAAAAGGGAGAGAGAGAAGTCTTTCTCTCTTTGGAGCTTGGTGGCCCTTTGGAAATGTACCTTTCCAAAGAGTTGCTGCAGCTTAGGTGTTTTGGGGAATCAGGCAGAATAGAGCTCACATGAGAACCAAATTTTGATTGGTTCAGAATGAGGCTAATTGTTAAACTGGTTTTGAGGAAACACCTTGGATTTTTTCCCTTGCTACTCTGATGCGTGTCAGGAGTGGGGCTTGGCCTAAATCTGGGTCTCTTGAGCTGGTATTTTGACATGTAAAAGTGATCTCAAAAACTTAATTATAAAAGGGTTTTTTTGCATTATAAACAACATATGGGATTATCTCTCTCTTTGAACCCATAACAATTTCATATGAGTTCAGAAGCACCAAACTGAGTACACAAAGTGAAACTGTGGCCTCTAAATGCAAACCATACAGCCATTAAGCAGACTGTGAGGGGACACAATAGTGCACATGAAATGTTACCTTCTGACTTAATCAGTTAGATATTGTGTTCCCTTAATTGTCTGACTATTTATATCAATCCGTTCACTAATTAACTCTTGTTGTTTGTCCATTTATGTTGGTTAGGACTTGAACCCTCCACCTACCTGGTTGTGGACACCAAATAGTTGTACAGTGGTACCTTGGTTTGCAGCCATTTTGGATTACAGCCACGTCAAACCCGGAAGCGTGTGTCCCTTTTTTTGGATTACAACCAGTTTTTTTTTTGGAGGCCCCAGTGGCGAAAGCGTGCCTTGGGTTATAATCTGTTTTGGTTTACAACCGGACCTCTGGAACGGATTATGGTTGTAAACCAAGGTATCACTGTATTTTTCTTTTAAGTTGCATCCTGGAATTAATCTCGAAGACTCAAGGCATGGCTGCAGATTGTTCACTGCCTCTTTCAAAGTTCAGTCTAATAGTCTGCAGCCTGGGTGTGCCTCCTGAGACGCAGTGTTTTCCTAGATTATAAGGAAGTGTTAAGAAAGTGACTAATGAAGCTGTTAGAGGCCCTGCCAAACAGTGAAGAATGTGAAACTAAGCGGGGGAATAGCTTCAGTCTTTCCCCATCAGTTTAGGAATGGAAAAGTCTGTTAAGGTGGGCATGATATGTTGTTCTTCAAAGGAAAACAGCATATTGTATTGTGTTGGGAGCTGGAGTGATGTTTTGGGGTAGGTGAAGTCCTTTGTATTAGCCACTTGCATAAAAAGTAATGCATGCAACCATAACATTTGAAAATTCTGCAAATAGGAATCTGACTGCTTTTTAAATCGTAGTTTATGTATTCCTTGCCATCATGAAATCACAAAATATTCTTGATTCTTCTTCCTTGATGAAGTTTTCTGCGGCATAGGTTTTTGAGATGCTGTCTAAATGAATCTATGTTTGACATTTGTCAACCTTTTCCTCCAGGAAAGGCACCAGGCCCACCTGCAAACTTGCAATGTATATGCAATGTTAGCTCTGTCTTCACACTTCCATTTGTAGAAGATTTCCACCTTCCCCATTCATTGTAGGCAATGAAGAAACTTACAGCAAAGCTGTTATGTGGCCTGAACCTTAAAAACCTTTGCAGCATCAGCAGCCATTCTCTTCCCCCTTTCACACTTTTTCGAAGGTTATAACAGTGTTGTCCATGTTCCTAGACTAGGACTGCATAACCATTGACTTGCCTCCCATCTCACAGGAAACTGCTTCTAATATATTATTTTTAAAGTACACATTAGTATTCAATGAAGCTTTACTCAGAGCAGACAGATTAGACACACACTAATTTCAGTAGGTCTGTTCTGAATAAAATTTGGTTGAATACTACCCAGGTTATTCTGTGTCCTGTACCCCTGTTACCCCCAGAGGTATAATTACAGCAGAAAGATAAGTAGTAAATAAATAAATGGTCATGGTAAGTAAGTTAAATGCTGAGTGGTCTAGAGAAGGAAACAGAAACAAGCATCCATGCTTTGGGTGGACCTAAGAGCAACAATTGTCATGTGTAAAAGCCTTTAAAAAATGTTCAAGAGTTAGTGTGGGCAAGCAAAAGCTACTGGCTGGGATGCACAATTGCATGAAAATTGGGTGACTCGTCCTATATGGATGTATTCTCCAAGGTTTTAGCCCAACAGTGAACTTGTCTTTTCTACATTTCTGCTTGTAATGCAGGGACTCATTTCTCCTGGGCCATGTTTACATGTATAGTTAAGGATACAGCTGAAACAACAAAAGCATTATGTCCACAAGAATGCAGGAAGAAGAATGATCATAGCTAGTCAGAAGGAAGCGATCATAATGCCTTTCTAAAAATCTATAGTACAACTGCACTTGGAATATATACAGTTCTTCCCCTCAAAAAATATACCGTAGAGTTGGAAAAGGTGCTGATAAGGATAACCAAAATGATCGGGGTGTTGGTGCAATTCCCCATAATAAGGAATGGGTACAAACTTTTAAGGCTTATTTGGTTTAGACAAAGGCGAATAAGAGGGACATTTGTTGGCACATGTCTATCTCAAGAGACAATGGGGTGTGCCTCTGGGGGTGAAGTCAAACCACTGGAGAATCATAGCAACAGCAACTGCTGTTGCTGCAGAAACCAGTAACTCATAATTGCTGTCTTCCATGTTGTTTTCGCTGCATTAGCCACATCAAAGTGACCTTTCTGGGGCTAAGGAGTAAACCCTACACCAGGGGTCAGTAACATTTTTTAGCTGAGGGCCGGTCCACCATCCCTCAGACCATGTGGGGGGCCGGACTATATTTTGGAGAGGAAAAAAAAAGAACGAATTCCTATGTCCCACAAATAACCCAGAGATGCATTTTTAATAAAAGGACACATTCTACTCATGTAAAAACACGCTGCTTCCCAGACTGTCCACTGGCTGGATTGAAAAGGCGATTGGGCAGCATTGGCCCATGGGCCTTAGGTTGCCTACCCCTGCCCTACGCTAATCTTGTCATATCAACAGCCCAGGACCTCCATGCACCCTGCCGAGGTTCACGACCCAGGGCGGTCACTTCAGTGCTGCTAATGCAGCGGTTTGACTTCATCCCCAGAGGTGCTCTCCATTGTCTCTCAAGAAGACAGATGGATGCCAGCGGTATTGAAGGAACTGTGCCTCTGAATATCCGTTGCTGGAGAAAACAAGTGCTATCATGTCCTAATTGTGGGCTTCCTGAAGGCATCTGATTGGTCCGTACGGAAAATGGGGTGCTGGAGTAATTGGGCTTTTGGCCCAATATTATAATCTCATTGATTATAATAGAAAATACATTGCATGAAAAAGAATTAAAAGTGAATATAAATCTGTTAAGCATATAATGAAGAACTCCCCCCCCCCCCCCATATATCTCAGGTATTGAAGGTTTTCCTATTGGAAGTGTAGTTTGAATGATAAAATGTGCTGCAGGTGATTTTCACAGTCATAAACATTAAGTATTTCCTATATGGTAAGTTGCCTGATTAATAGCCCTTGAGTTAAACAGGAAGCATACAACATTTTTCAATTTCGGCTGGAACCATTCACAATTGCTTATGTGGCTATGTGCTCTGCTGATTACGGTCCATACGTTTTAAAGCCTTGCTCATAATACTTGTCAGTGTATGTATATACTGGAACTTGGATTGTGCAGCTTTCCCCCCTTTTGAGCCGTGGAACGCTTCTGTTTTGCCAGTTTGGATGTGTGTGTAATCTGCCACTTCTTATCTGCATCTCTGTTGGCTGCTGGTTAGTCAGCTAATCACTTTGATCTCTAGCTGAGGCCTTGATCTTTTTCAGAAGGGAGTCCTGAGATATGAATAGTACTCTAATTGATTCAGTACTTCCATTTCCCCTTCTTATTTATAATCTTTAGAGCTTTAATTTGCCTTTGTAAAGTTTCTTTTTAAAATTCTCCTTACATTTTGACATGCAAGCCACTGGGCCGGGGGCCAAGAAATGGGCTGGAATCCTTTCTCTTGGGGTGCAGTGATTTTTCTCCCAGTCATCTGAGATTTCCTTAGGCAAGCAGAAGCTTCTGGGGATGTGGACAAAGCACCTTTGCTCCCATCATAAAGTTCTTCATCCAATTGTGTAGTTTTAAAGAATTTGGATCACTTCCAATTGCAGGGTTTAAGGGATCCCCACCCCCCGTCATGAAATCTGTTTACTTTGTGGTGTTCCCTGCCACACCTTTGATTGAATGGATTTTTTTGGGTAGTAGCTTATGTGAAAAGTGTGGGTTTCTTTTGTTTTTGTTGTTTCCCTATTTCATGGTTAATGGGTTTTGCTTTTTCAGGCCAAATTGTGTGTCTTTTCCCTCAGACTTGCTTCTAGCCTCAAGAAACCAGCCCCCTCTAGTTCCATTAATATTCTTGCTGTTCTCACTGAGGTAACCCTGTTTTGTTTTCACAATCAGAGCGGAGAATTTCTCATGCACGTATTTCCCCCAAGGGCTGATTCTCTTATTATTGTGGGCCTGATCGTGCTGTAGTGCTGAGCCTTTTCAGTATTAACATTTGAAGGTGTACGTCGTGCCTTGTGGCAAGTATTTGGTATTTTGCAGTATTAGACCTTCTACCTAAGTAATCAGGACCTACTACTGGGGCAGTTTTATTGTGTGTGAGAGAGAGAGAATGAGAGAGATTAGGGTGGTGTGCATGTGTATAAAGGGATACTTAAGCAACATTTTGTTCTTCTTATTTCTGTCAGTTAAAACTATTAGTGACCTAAGTGTGTTGTGTTCTGTTTGGCTTTTTTTGGTCCAGTACAACTGTTGTAGTTCGGGGTAAATATTGAAGCAGTTTTTAAAAATAAAAATAAAACAAAAATAAAACTGTATATGTGACTGATAATGAATGCTTAATATAATACAAACAAAATCTCACAAATTTTCAACAGAGCTCAGGCAGTATGTCTGTCACTTTTTGCCCTGGTGCCATGTGTTCATCATATATATAAATTACATATGAACAATATACATGAATTGAAATATGTAACAAATTCAAAAATGTCATAGTCATTGTTAAAATAAAGTAGGCTAAAAGGCAATGGAAGTTCACAGACAACAGAAATAAATTTAGTGAATTAACTTAAATTTTTTGCCTACACTCACAGCTGCTCTCCAAAATATTTCAGATGGGGTCTCTCCGATCCCTACCTAGATATGCTGGGGTATGACTTGGGACCTTCTCAAGTGTACTTGCGGAAAAACATGGTCCCTGACACAGCAATTGACAGTGTCTAGACTCTGCCTGTCTTGGTAGAGCTGGGTGTCCTCCTTCTCTTGATAAGCTGAAGAATGTCATCAGCTCTCAAGCATGTGGTAAAGCCCCTGGACGGGATGGAATCTCAACAAAAGTGCTAAAAGCCAGCTTCAATTCCTCCTTCACAACGCACCTCCATGGCCTCCTCTTGTAGTGTTGGGAACAAGGATCCATACCACAAGACATGCATGACTCCAGCATTGTCGCCTTCTACCAGAACAAAGGTAACTGCCATGACTGCAACAGCTACTGTGGAATCTCCCTGCTGAGTTCTGTGGGGAAAGCCTTTCCCCATGTAGTTCTCAACAGATTACAGTTGCTTGCTGACAGGGTCTATCTTGAGTCACAGTGCGGTTTTAGAGTTGAAATGATTTTCTCAGTGCTTCAGCTGTAGGAGAAATGCCAAGAGCAGATACACTCCTTGTACATTGCCTTCATAGATCTGATGAAGACCTTTGAACTGGTCAGCCAAAAAGAACTCTTCACATTCTTCAACAAGATAGCATGCCTACCTAAACTTCACAAGATAATCATGTACTTCCACAAGAACATGCGTGGCACCGTCCAATATGATGGCTCATCCTCAGACGCGTTCCATATAAAGAGCGGTGTGAAACAGGGCTGTGTTCTTGCCCCAACTCTCTTTGGCATATTCTTCTCCCTGTTATTCTCCTATGCTTTCAGCTTTCATCCAAGGAGCGATGGGGTATGTCCACATGCCAAGACAAAAGTTTGATGGGTCCTTATTGAAGAGAGGTTGTTTGCAGATGATGCAGCCTTGACATCACACTCTGAGGAATCTTTACAGAGACTCATCTACCATTTTGCCCAAGCCTGCAGGGAGTTCAGCCTTACCATCAGCCTGATGAAGTCCAAAATCCTGGGTCAGGATGTCACCAGCACTCCACACATCAGCATTGTAGACTACATGCTTGAGGTGGTAGACAATTTTGTCTACCTGGATTCCACCATAACCAGCAGCCTCTCCATTGACACTGAGCTGGACAAGTGCCTGGAGACAGACAGTCAGGTTGTGTATCCACAGCAGTGACCTCAGGAGGAATGAACACTCGGATGAGAGCAGAGAGAATAAACGCCATGGTGCACTTCCAACAGCACAACCAGGTGCCTTCCTCTGCCCTAGCTGCAACAAAACATGTCTCTTCTGCAGCAATCTCTACAGCCACAGCAGGTGCTGTAATTCTCTAACGGTTTGACATCACCCCCAAAGGTGCCCTCCTCTCTACTCTCATGAGACAGATGGATCCTAACTGTTAAGTTGTGGGCGAACATATCAGACGACACAGCGATTCTTCCAAAGCAGCTCTTTATTTGTAAGCTGGAACAGAACTGAACTGAGGAGCTCAGTCAGCCTGCTTATATAGAGCTCCACTAGAATACAACAGTAACCATTTTCTGTAAATAGCCAATCACTGAATGTCACTTTCGATCCTTCATTTGCATACAAACTATCCAATCACTGAACGTCACTTTCGATCCTTCATTTGCATAACTATCTACAGTATCCCCCTGCTGGCCCAGGGTGAGAACTTCAGAACATAACACTAACAACCATATTCTTATATCCTCAGCCTATCAATTCCCAGGTTACTCTTGTAAACCAAGCATTGCATCTTAAATGAGGTTGTCAGATCAGTAAGAGTTTGTATGTTGGAGTGGTGAGCAATACAATACTGCTCTCTTTAACAATGAAAAGCTAATTCAAGGTTAGTGTGCAGATGAGTCTCTAACTTGTAAATAAATATGTGTGTGTGTGAGAGAGAGAGAGAGAGAGAGAGAGAGAGAAATGTTGGGTTGGAAGACTGGTTTATAAAACCATCAATACAGACAACTGAATGTGCCAACAGGAAGGATTAAGAAATGCTGCATTTTCAACATCACATCCTTTATTTATCAGAAGAGAAGTTGTAGGGACAATTAAATGAATTATGCTTATCTCAAGGAAATTACACAGAAAATACACAGAAGGCCAGCTTGATGGCAGTCTCGCAAACAATGCACTTAAGGCTAGCTTACTTAAAAGTTTAAAGCATTTAACTAGCAAGAGAGTTTAGCAGTACCCATCTAGAACTTTTAACCATTCTGTGGCCTTCTATATTGTCATCAAAACAAGTTCACAGCAAGGTCATTGAAGAGAAACATGAGGCTTGAACCTTTTAAATTCAGTCCAGATCCTCTCTGGTACAATCAGTGTAGCTTGATTGATTCTGGGGAGAGCATACAGCATCCCCCCCCCCTTTTATCTAGAAGATTATGCTTTCCTTCATGCTGCTCTCAAGAGCTGGATACGGTGCCGCAGAACTAGAAACAAGGTATTCTCAAGGAATCTAAAAACCTCCAATTGATTTAAATGTACATTGAAGTTTCTAGAGGGGTTTTGAGACCATAGGCTCCTTTCAGCATCATATACCCACAGGAAGGAGTTTCCTCTGTGTGTTTGATCCGTAGTAATTGACTATGAATGACATTTGTAGTAAGATTTAGGATCCTGAAAAAATTCAAACACAAATAGTCAAAGAACCATGCTGGTATGTTCATCTTATGTGTATACCTCAGAAGGCTTTGATCAAAATCACTGTCAATGAAATGTTTCATAGTTCCTTTTTCAGTAACCTGTTTCTTTCAAGGTTTTCTTGTGTGGTTCCCACATCACTACAGCAATGGGATGGCTGCTTCATGTGGGATTCTTGTTGCTTATTGGAAATACCTTTTTTTTGATAGCCAATAATGATGCAGTGCTCTGTTCTGTCACCATCTGCTGCTGTTCATGAGAAGACAGCATATAGCTCTGTATGACATCATGGCTGTAGACCAGTTCTAATTGAAAACCAACCAGAGTGTGGGAAGCTGGAACAGGGAAAATAGTCCAAGAATATAATGCACATTTAAACTGGCAATTGTCAAAGGGCTGCATGTATCTTTCTTCATAAACATTTATTTGGATGTTGACCACCTGCAAAATGGCAACTTCATACAGTGTAAATATAAACTATTTCATTGAATTTTCATCCCCCTGGTCTAGAAAACTATCTTTCATTTCCATTCTTAAAAGCATAATGTAGCATGTGCTATAAAAATATACAAAATTCCACATAGACTATAGTAGCCTGCAGGGGGAAAAAAGACAGGATATAACGAGTTGCATAAAATCATAAAAGCATTAGACTCAAACATATCACTAAAGGTTTCTCTCTGAAATAAACTGCCTTTCACCGTCTCTCCTTAAAGATAAAAAAAGAGCTGGATTTCATGGGCTTCTTGAGTAGACAATTTTAAAGAACTGGGGTAACCAGCAGGTGATTGTGGTGTTTGCCTCACATATCTTCTCTAATGGGAGAAAACTCTTAACTTATTTTGCTGATTTTAGGACACCAGGGGTGAGGGCCATAAAAGTTGTTGACTTTATATTTATTTCGAAAATGTATAAAACGTTTCACAGCTTCAGGCCATTGAAGTGGTGTGCAAGATAAAAAAAATAGATAAAGTAACAAAGTGTAGTAGTCAACTAAATTTTACTCAGAGTATGCCCATTGAAACGAATGAACATGACTAAGCTAGATCAATTCATTTCAGTGGTTCTACTCTGTGCAAAAGCTGAATTAGTCCCCCCCCCCTCAAGTTTTAAGAAACAATAAAACCAGAGGGGGGGAGGTTCAGTTGAACTCTCCGGGGTTCCCCGGCACCTCTTAGGTGGGCGCCATTGCCATTTTAAGAGAATGAGGGAGGTGTTCATGGTGAGTTCTGGTTCCTCTTTTTTAAAATAATAGAAAAATAGCCTTGAATAAAACCACCTGTAAAACTATAAACGCTTAAAACCATGTCTCCAAAGTACAATTTCAGTTCCACAAATGATTGGGTCACACCTCAGGGAAACCCTTCTTAAACAACAGTGCTTTCAGTAGGTGCCTAAACGCCATCATGTTAGATGCATATCATAATTTCAGCTAGTAATTTGATTCCAGAAGTCTGGAGCTGCAACACTTAAAGGCCTGGTTTCCAGTACAAGTTAAGCCACCTTCTGGGGCATGTGGTTCTCTGCAATGCCTCATTTGAGGAGCACTGTTGCCAGGCAAGGATATATGGGCAAGACACTTGGCAGAGGACAATGCGTTCTACATGGGGCTACCTTTGAAGGTGACCCGGAAACTACAACTAATCCAGAATGCGACAGCTAGATTGGTGACTGGGAGTGGCTGCCGAGACCACATAACACTGGCCCCGAAAGACCTACATTGGCTCCCAGTATGTTTCTGGGCACAATTCAAAGTGTTGGTGCTGACCTTTAAAGCCCTAAACGGTCTCGGTCCAGTATACCTGAAGGAGCATCTCCACCCTCATCGTTCAACCTGGACACTGAGGTCCAGCGCTGAGGGCCTTCTGATGGTTCCCTCACTGCGAGAAGTGAAGTTACAGGGAACCAGGCAGAGGGCCTTCTCAGTAGTGGCACCCACCCTGTGGAATGCCCTCCCATCAGATGTCAAAGAAATAAACAACTATCTGACTTTTAGAAGACATCTGAAGGCAGCCCTGTTTAGGGAAGCTTTTAATATTTGATGAATTATTGTATTTTAATATTTAATCCCAAACAGACTCTGATTGTACATGTAGCAAACTCCAGACGTACTTTTCCTGTCTGTAGTGTCACTTCCAAAACTTGCATCTGCAAATATCTCAAGACCACCAGACTTCTGATTGTTAAATCTCAGTCTGTAATGCATAGTGCCTTTCAAATACCGCGCTATGCGTTTCAGAGCTTTCCAATCCTTGACACTAGGATTGTTGACTTGTCTGCTTAGCAAATTACAGCTAACAGCAATGTCTGGTCTTGAACATCTGGCAATGAAGTCTAGCTTGCCTAGCACACTCCTGTACAGTGTAGTGTCAGAAAATGCTTCTTCAGTGTCATCTACCTGATAACCTGTTGTCATCGGTGTGTCTACAGGGTTAGCATCCATTAGATTTAGTTTGCTTAACACATCAGCAATTTTCCGTGACTGGTGTACTAGAATGTTACCATCTTGATCTCTCTCTATTTCCAGAGATAGGTAGTTGTTTACCTCACCAAGATCTTTCATGTCAAAGTGCTCTTTCAGTTGAGCTAGGGCGTTATTGTACATTGCGACATCTTTCCAAAAGAATAATAAATCATCAACATAAAACAAACAGTACAGTTTCTTTTGCCCCTCCTCTTTGACAAATACACATGGATCAGCTTTCCCTTGCTGAAAACCTAGAGAAAACAATACTTCAGTGAGTTTTGTGTGCCAACACCGTGCACTTTGTTTGAGACCATAAAGGGATTTCTTCAGAGCACAAACAAATCCCTGTTTTACCTGTACGCCATCAGGTGGAAGCATATAAAGTGATTCATTTAGAGATCCGTACAGAAAAGCTGTATTAATATCATGGTGACTAATGTGTAGATTTTCCTCTGCAGCTAGCTTAAGCATAAGCCTAATGCTTTCATATCTCACTGTGGGTGAATAGGTCTCGTGATAGTCTTCACCTGGTACCTGTGCAAAACCTCTGGCTACCAATCTGGCTTTGTGTCTGACTATCTTGCCATTTTGATCTGTCTTCGCTTTGAAGACCCATTTGCTTCCAAGCAGTTTCATTCCTGGAACTACTGGAACTAGCTCCCATGTTTTGTTCCTTTCTAAGGAATCAAGCTCAGCCTTCATGGCATTTAACCATGGCTCAGCTTCCTTTGAATCCAAACCCTGGATTTCTTGGAAACTTGAAGGTTCAAATACCTTCTTGGAGCTTTTAACAGCTGTTACTGCTATCTTAGCAAACTCATCAGCAAATCTCTTTGGAGGTTTGCCTTTTGTGGCTCTCTGTGACCTACGAATTAGCCTTAAGTCTTCAACACTCTCCTCTTCCTTCTTAGGAGAAAAACGACCTATTGTGAACAATGGTTCCTCCAATTCTTGATCAGAGCTTTCAGAGGGTCGCATAGAGGCTTTCGCACTCTTGAAATCCTCTGAATCACCCGATTCAGTTTCAGATTCAGACTCAGAACCTTCATCAGTGGGTGTGGGCTGTTGTGGTTGCTTTTGACTATCCTCAGTCTCATCACCGTCATCAGGATAACATTGGAAAATTCCCACATTCTCCCCCACTTTGCATTGTACTCAACACTTCTCGTGAGCTTAATTGTCTTAGAGTCAGTCATCATTATTCTGTAAGACCCTTTCTGATAACCTAGAAAGATACCATGCAATCCACGCTTGTCTAACTTGGAGTTTTGTGGTGAGCGAACCCACATGTCAGAACCAAAAATTTTCATGTGTTTGATGTATGGCTTCTTGCCAAACATCTTCTCATAGAGGTACAACCAATCGCTGAAGATAGCCTGCGATTGTAACTGTAAACAAAACACGAGAGAGATTCGGCCCAATAACTCTCTGGAAGATTGGCATCATGCAGCAAGGTCTTTAACCCTTGAAGCAATGTCTGATTTGCCCGCTCCGCAAGTCCATTCTGCCATGGCGAGCGAGGACTAGACAAATCGTGTTGAATTCCTTTCTCAGTCAGAAAAGCTTCAAACTGCTGAGAAGTGAATTCCCCCCCGCGATCACTGAAAAGAGTCTTTATCTTCTTACCATGCACATTTTCTAACCAAGCACAGAATTCCTTGAACCTAGGAAAAGCCTCCGATTTCTGCTTGAGATTGTACACAAAAATATATCTAGAAAATGCATCAATGAGAACCATGAAGTACCTATTTCCACCCAAAGAGGGCGCAAGTGGTCCAACCAAATCAGCATGAACAACCTGGTATGGTTCTGTAGCTTTCCTACTAGACACCTTACCTTTCGCAGCCATTTTGACCTTGTTTGCTGCGCATGCTTTGCACTTCATGTGGTACCTGCAGGGTTTAATAGTCATACCTTCAACCAAGGCAGGCATTTTAGATACTGCCTCAAAATGCAAATGACCAAATTTGCGATGAAAATCGTGAATACATTCTGCATGCAAACTTTTGTTAGAACCTGCAATGCAACAAGTGTCATCCTGCACCACATCATCATAATACAAAACAAACAAATGATCAACATATTCTGCATGCAATACATAATCATTTTTCTTTGTGATGATGCACTTCTTGTTCTTGAAGGAAACGTCAATGTTCCGCTCATTCAGCTGTCCAACGCTGAGCAGATTATGTTTGGCGTCTGGCACGTAAAGCACATTCTGTATCGATAAGTCCAAACTGTGAAGAACAACAGTTCCGTAGCCTTTACTGGGAATAGTGTGGTCATCCGCCTGGTGAATCGCACCTTCCTGCGGTGTAAAAGACACAAACAGTTTCTTATCGTTGCACATGTGGTGGGTGGCCGCTGAATCAACAACGAAGAAAGATCTAGACGTCTTCTGGACCTCTGCAACCTTTGGAGTGAAGCGTGAAACCATAGCCTTGTGCTGCGTTGTCCTTGACACCGGACCTTTGCCTTTGCCTCGGCCTTTTCCGCGCGATGAGCTTTCGCTGCGCTGCTCTGTCTTGGCCCTGGGATGTCTGCATTCCCTCTTCATATGGCCTAGACGTCCACATGAGTAGCATTTCACTGCCTTCAAAGCTTTGGCGCCATCTGGTGGTTCCACTGCACTATGGGATGACGTCTGTGAAGACTCTCCCTTGCCCATGCAGCTAGCACCCCGGCGATCTGCTTCATTTAAAATCACGGCAGTAACAAAGTCCACTGTCAGCTGAGCAGTTGGTTGCACAGCAATCTGGGTTGCAACAGACTCCCAACCTGAACCTAAAGATTGTAGTATCATGAAAGAATACACAGCCTCTGGAAAGTTGAGTCCTCTCTGTTGCAGCTCATGTCTCAGATTTTGCATCTCCATTAGATGTAAACGCACATCTCCACCTTCAGCAAGAGCCATATTGTGCAGCTTGTTAAAATAAAACATAGTGGATCCAGCTTCTGTCCTTAAGTGAGCCTCTCTCAGAGCGTCCCAAATTTCTCTGGCTGAGGTCTTATCACGCAATAGACAGAGCTCTTCTGGGGATACAATCAATGTAAGAGTTCCACAAGCTTTGGAATCCTTAGCTTCCCATGCATCTGTAACTGGAACTGGGGGGGTTCCTGTAATCACTTCAAACAAACCCTCTTTCCGCAGAATTGCCTCTGCATACTGAACCCAGTCGCTGTAATTTGTTTTGTTGAGCTTAGGAATCCCACAAGCATCCTGAAGGGTCATCATGACTCTGGCATTAGCCTTCAGCGTCATATGCTGCTTTAAATCTTGCTGCGTCACTGCTGCAGCTGCCTCATTACAAAGGCACACTTAAAAGTTACTTTCGATTTCCCCAGCATAGTGACTTGTGCCTGGGAGCCTTTTGCCTATTTGCAAAACCGGCTTTAAAAGTTCAAAGTCCAGCCATAAAGCCATTAACTTGAAGCTGGCAGGCTGCCCGGAGCAGTAGCACATACCTCATCAATCACTTCTACGCGCAGAGCAGATTCCTTTCCGATCCGTCCCTCTGCATTCCGATCTGCCGGCACTCCGATTCGACCTCTGGAGTCCATAACCACGTGTTGATTTAAAGCAGAGTCTGGTTGCCCAGCGGAAGGATGAGGAAAATGTGTTACATACTCTATATTGCTTTATTTACAGTTCAAAGCTGGTATATTACAGAAAGACATCTTGCCCTGCCGGAGCAGAAAATGCATCCTCTCTCCTCGACAGCTTGGAGAGAATCACACAGTGAAAAAAACAGGAAACCAGTGTACGTCACATCCAGTCTCCCTTTCCCGTGAGAAACTCCAACAGTAACTCTGACTGTGGAATGCAAAACAATGTCTTGTGACTGCAGTTGCTGCTCAGTGAGGGAAATAGAAACCAACAGTTACAGGGAACCAGGCAGAGGGCCTTCTCAGTAGTGGCACCCAGAAGACATCTGAAGGCAGCCCTGTTTAGGGAAGCTTTTAATATTTGATGAATTATTGTATTTTAATATTTTGCTGGAAGCCGCCCAGAGTGGCTGGGGAAACCCAGCCAGATGGGCGGGGTATTTATTATTATTATTATTATTATTATTATTATTATTTTATTTTGAAGTTGAACTTACTTTAACAGCCAAAATGAAAAGAAAAGCCACAGAACACTGTACCTTTAAAACGGTTTGAAACTGAGTGATAAGTTATCAGTGTTATACATATTCAGAATCACAGCCTCTTTTTAAACAGACTAGCATCTCCTCCCTACCCTGCCCACATTGTGATCCCTGCTGCCTAGTGATACAATTTGTGAAACTATTGTATGCATCCTATGATTATACATTCATTTGTTCTTTTAAAAAAATGAAGTTTGAAGTAAGTTAGAGAAGCACATTACTGAACTTTAAATGATAATGTGTCCTTTTGTGATGAATGATTTTCTCTGCTTTCCTCATATTTAGTAGTTAAACTAAATGTTGATGGAAATTGCAAAAACGGAAGATTATGACAAAAATATATACATGTAATTCACAATAATTCCAATTTAAAAACTAATTAAAACTTGTTAATGAGGTACTTTATTATCTGTACTCGTACTGCAAAATCTCCTCGTTAGTGCAGCATTGACAAGATTCATTTGAGAGCAGCCATATTGCTTTATCATATCTATATAATCTTCGTTTCAAAGGTTTTACCAGTTTGCTCACCCATTTTTTCTTTGATGTTGCAGTACAAGGGGCATATCCAGGAATAATGGATTTCCCCTTGATAAGGCTTTGTTTTGTTATCTTTCAGATGGCTGATTTCATCTTTGAAAATCTTAATCTTTCAATACCATCCCTCTGGGTATGACCACTTTGCAAGGTTCTCTTGAATATATAGCTTAAAAATGGGAAAATATGAGAATTCCTGAAATTGATGTCCATTTGTATGGTTGTTTCTTTTAACTTAGTTTTTATCTGACTTCAGAAGGATTCGACCAAAGTAACCATGGCCATTTTTCTGAAAACATTGCAAGTGTCTCTTAGCAAACAGCTGATTTATCATTGACATTTTCTATCCCTATAATATACTTAATACATTGTTGTTACAAAGCATCATAGAATTGTAGATTTAGAAGGCACCTCAAGGATCATTTAACCCCCTGCAATGTAATTCAGGAATTACAGCCAAAGGATCCCTGACAGATGGTCATCAAACCTCTGCTTAAATACCTGCAGTGGAAGAGAGTCTACTGCCTTCCAAACTAGTTAATTCCACTGTCAAACAGTTACTGGTATTACGGCCAGAAAGTTCTTCCTCATGTTTAGTCAGAATCTCCTTTCTTGTAATTTGAATCCACTGGTTTGGGTCCCATACTCTGGAGCACCAGATAACTAGCTTGCTCCATCTTCAAATATTTGAAGATGGCTATTGTATCAGCAACCAGTCTGTTCTCCACACTAAACATATCCAACTTCATCATTATAACCTTGGCCACCCTCCTCTGCACATTTTTCAGCTTTTCAATATTTTTCTTAAACTGTGGTGCCCAGAACTGGAGACACAGTTTCTCCACACGTTGTATAACCAGGATAGAATAGAGTGGCACTCTTACTTCAATTGATGTGAACACCATACTTCTGTTTATGCAGCCTAGAATTTCTTTGCTGCCGTATCACACTGTTGACTCTTGATAAGCTTGTGGTCTACTAAGACCCTAGATTCTTTTCACATGTATGCACTACAGGCAATCCAGGTGTCCCCCATCTTAGACTTGCTTATGCAAGTCCCAAACTAGGGAGCCTAGTAACCAAAAGGTAACATTTTGATGGTATTGATATGGTCACACTTGCCATGTCCTCTCTTTTGACCCATACACTTCTCGTGCACAAATTCCCATGCAATGAATGGTTTTTGTACAAGTCTACATGTTTTCCTTTTCATTTCAGTTGTCCTTACTCAGTAGAAAGTTTTGGTAAATTGTGCTCAACATGAGTTACTTTTTGATAATGTGTGAGTAACAGCTGACATCCACAAGGCACCTTTATTAGTGGGGCTGTCTGGATTATTCTGACTCCAGCACTTTAACTCACTCATCTTGTTCTGATGTCTGCTTGCTTCAGAGACAGCTTGCATGCATTATTCTGTATTATGGCAAGTTTGTTTATACTGTTTAAAGCTGAACATACACTGTGTGAAGATTGTTTTCCTTGACTTAGATCCAACTGTGCAAAAAACATTCAAAACTATCATGGGTCTAATCTTGCAGAAATGAAACTAATATAGTATTAAGCCCTTAGTTTAAATAGCAAACAGCCTTTAGGGATATAATAAATAATTGCATATTTTTGTCAGTCAAATCTGTTTCACCACAAAATAGAGTAAACATTGTTTTTCTTGAATTCTGAAATATCTGCTGACAAGTTCATGGTATTGATCTTCTCTATTTCTTTTTGAGTTATCCTGTGGTTTATTATTGAGCATTGCCTTTGTCTGGGTTTTCTGGCTACCTATCTTGCAATGTTTAATTCAACTAAATTGCAGGGTGTTTGTCGTTTATCCACTCCTGTTCACCCCCCCCTATTTATTCACAGTTACTTTGCTCTACATTTACACAAGCGTTTTTTTGAGGATAACTGGGCTGCCCTGTAGGTGTTTGTTTTCCATCCTTTTCACATATGAAGATTTAATGTGATAAAGTCATCACAATATGACTTTTACCTCGCATGTTTCATATGGTGAATATTTCTTGTCAGTGTTCTCCCTGTAGTGACACCTAGTATTTGCCATATTTAGCAACGTGTTAGTTCTCAGGCTTTTACTCATACATGATAAATACTAGCTGTCATCTTGTAAGACCACATTCACAAGAAATATTCTCTTCATGAACAGAACATTTAAAATTCTCTTGTGATGACTTTGCTACATAAAAAGCAATGCATGAATCAGCCGTTGGATTTCTCTCTCTCTTAAAAACAGCCTGTGAGCATTGACAAGTTGCAAAAACTTTTGAAAAGACTACAATAGTATATTTCTTTCAAATCTGTGGGATTTGTGGAATGGGCAAGTAAAAGGGGAAAATATTATTGAACAGATAGGTCACTGGGAAACCGCAGCACTGAAATTGTGAAATGGTCAAAGAAGGTACAAGGATACAGATAGATTGACCAGAACAGAACAAAGTCAGTGGCAATTGTCTAGGGACAAGTTTCTCCATGCAGTGGGGTGGATCTAGAGTTAAGCTCAGCAGAGCTTTGCTTCTACTGGAAGAAAGGGTGTGATCTTCATGGATTCCTTTGCCTCCTGAAAAGTTGCTTCAGTGGTTGGGAGGGACTCCATAGCAGCATGAGCTCTCTCTCTCTCTCTCTCTCTCTCTCTCTCTCTCTCTCTGTGTGTGTGTGTGTGTGTGTGTAGGGGAAATGCTAAGTTGATAAGGAACATCTTCACATTTCCTTAAGCAGATCTCTGCTGGATCTCTGTTCCTTGTCTGTACATAAGGAGCCTTCCCATTTGCAGAGTAGTTAATCTGGACCTACTGCTCAGGGATTATAGTGATTTTCAGTCAAGCATGTTGGTGTCACAAATGAAATATGTGTTAAACTCATGCACAGAACTGTATTCACTACAGCACTTACGGAAAAGTGTCTTTACCCCCAAAGACACACTCTTCTTCCATTGTCTCTTGAGACAGACTGATGCCAACAACATGGGGGGTTAATGTTTTCTAAGGAAAATGGATAAGATCATGGAATTCATGTATATACTGCATTGCTTCAAGTATTGAAAAGTAGAAAAAGGGCTCGCCACAGAGTAAAACTCAATTGTATTACATGAATCATTAGCTTAATTGTGTTTTCTATTTTACATTTCTGCAGAAAAAGGCAATAATTAGGTACTCTACTAAGATTCTGCGGTATAAATGTGAAGATTAACCATGACCTGTGTTTTTGTTGGAAAGTACAATTTCATAACTCCCAAGAAAAGCTTTGGGGAAATTATTCTGTCTCCCCACTTCCCATTGTGTCATTTCCACTTACCAAAAGCAATGTGGATTATGATCCTGTCATGACACTTGTCTGCATGTGAATGGATGCAAGTCAGATATTAGTCATGGTGTGGAACAGGGGGAAACAATGTGCTGCCCACCAGATGGTGTTGGACTGCAGTTTACATAATCCTGACCATTAAGCCGTGCTGACTAGGGCTGATGGGAGTGGGCATCCAACATCTGGGAGGCTTCCACATTGAGCACATCTGGTCTGTACAGTAAGGAGTGGGGAAACACTGACCAGCACATTTTCCCCATTTCTTATGTGAGATGTAGCTTTTGAGACTTGGTTTTTATCAAAGATTCTAAAATCTTGCTGAGAAGACCTCTTTCTGTCTTCTAGAACTTATTACTTTACAAGAATGGATGCCACGCCAACTTCCTTTATAGCAGTCTAAACATAATCTTTGAATAGCAAAAGCACAATATGTGAGAGAGCCATCAAGATCCCAAGCATCCATGTTACTTCTGTAGCTGTGATGCTGATTGTGGTGTTTTAATATTTTGGCACCAAGGCCAGCTGAACTGATTGGAACTGGAGGCAGCCATATTGAATATCATTCCATTGTCTCCCAATGGATGCTGTTAACTTCTTGAAGTTGGAAGAGAACATGCAAGACAGTAGCAAGCACAGGGGGTAGTGTGGCATGACCGCTATTCACCAACAGTTTTTCTCCAGTTTTTTCACACAATTCTGCACATAACTGACCTCTGCTTTAGGGAAGTTCTAACTATAACATTGTATTGTGTTGTAAACCATGGGTGCCACAAGTCACACCAGGAGAGTCTGTGGGCCTTCCTTTGATGTTTACTCAGGCATGCACATTGTATGGGTTTGCCTCTATAGACTGTAGGCCTATACCCACCTACATGGGTATAAGCCATTTAAACTCTAGGGGCCTTTGTAGAGAACTGTGCTTTGAAGAAGAAAGGGCTGCATGCATATGTACTATAGCAGGGATGTCCAACAGGTCAATCACAATCTACTGGTCAATCCCCAGGAGGCTTTGGTAGATCGCGGTCAATATCTGGCTCCTCCATCAGCCCCCGCCCCCTCACCCCACTCTCTAGACCCTGTCCGCTAGAATGGAAGAAGGAGCTCTCACTGCTAGGCTGACTGTTTCATTAGTGATCTCTTGGTGAGATACTTTTTTCATTTATTCCTTTCCCCTGCTCTCTCTCCCCCCCCCCCAATGGGGTTCAGGTCAAAACTCAACAACTTTGACCTGAAACCCCCCCCCCCCCCCAAAAAAGGGTAGATCACTGCCAGTTTTCAATTGTGTGAGTAGATTGCAGTCTCTTGGAAGTTGGTCTTCCCTGTACTATAGCAAACACTCAAGTGGTACAACTTCATAATTTTGGATTTGCTTTGTGGTGCGCTCCTTTCAAGACTGATCCCTATTGGTGTAGATTTTTAGGTAGCAGAGTGTGCAACAGACCAGAATGGTCTGTTGTTGCATTTGGCAGTCAACCACATTAATGGTTTGCATATTGGCCTTGTTTACACAATAACCATGCTTTAAAGGTAAGCATGTAGCATGCTGGGAGAAAAATCACCATTGCCACTATTAAGAGCTAATCCATGGTTTGGCTCAGTGTTAAATCTGATCATGGGCTTAAGGTTTGACTCCCACAAACAAACCATGAGTACTAAACCAAGAACAAACCTTGGTTATGGCTCATGAATTGTTTGGAGATAGAGAGCAGAGAGAAACCATGAACCTGGGTTCAGACACAACTCTAAGCCAAACCATAGCTTAGATCCCAGTAGCACAGCATAAGTGGGGAAGGCACAAAGTGGACATAGCTTTGACCCTGAGTACCAACATTCCACATGTTCTTCTTTAAACCATGGTTATGCTTAACTGAGGCTTCAAGTGACATGGGAACTGAGCCACTGATTGTCATATGGCCCTGCTTTGGGGTGAATAGCAGCAGTGTTTGAGGTGCATTAGCTTATAGGCTGACAAATTCTATATGCTCTGTGAGGCACTTTGAAAAACTTTGGCTGACAGGAACAGCCTACAGAAGCAATGAAGGCTGCAACCCACACCCTCTAGATGAAGAAATGGCTGTTTCATTTTGGTGATTCATACAGGAAGACAGCTGAAATGTTTTATGCTGAACGCAGCTTCAGCATCTACATTGTGTAAGAAGTATGAACAGCTTTAATATACTTACTGCATTTTGAAAATAGAAATACTGGCCTGGAGCAGTCATGGATGGGCTTCAGGAATACTAATTGTTTGTGTACATGAATAAGCTTATAAATGGTTATTTCTGAGGGCTTATTTTGCTCATCAGTGCCAGTATAAGAAAGGGTGGGTGAATTATTATATTACCTACACAGCCTGCTAATGTGTTCAGGGTTTGATGGAAAGTGCCTTTAACTTGCCATGAACTCCTTTCCTACTGAGCCACCTCTACATTTAAAGTAGGCAAAGAGCCATTACACTAATCCACTGTGCCATCATATCTCTGGAAAACACATGTAAGCAATTGCATTGAATATTCATATTTGATGCAAGATGTATTAAAATCTGTGTATTTGGCACCATATACAGCTACAGTTTTGGATTGGTGGCACTTTCAGCTTTGTTATTTTTAATTGTGCAAGTTTGTTCTTTCAGTAAAGCCATCTATGCTGCTCATATTGGGATTTGGAGGGAGGGGAGGGCGGAGGGAGACAGAGAGACCTAACAGATTTGGACCTTTTCACTTTGTAATCCATGTAAAATGGCAGAAAACATAATGACCAGTCATTTCATTTGTTTTGTTTTCCAATCAGATCCGATTGTATGCAAGACCTGATGCCATCAGAAGAGGATCTGGGGATTATGCTCTAAACATTACTCGGAGACTAGTTGAGTTTTATGAAGACTACTTCAAAGTGCCCTATTCCCTGCCAAAATTAGGTAAGCTGGTTGAGAGGAACTGAAAGATCAGAGTATGGAAGGCTAAAAATAATGGTTTAGATCCTAATATAAGTTAACTTAAGGAAATAAATTTTCCCCATTCCCCACCATAGCCACACCTCTGGCGGGTCAAGAGTCAGGTCTGAACAATGTGGGATGGGATATGCAAGGTTAATTGCCTAAAATTGGGTGGATCTTGGCCTGATTTTGTAGGGTTCTCCCCTTTACACTCTCCCATATTTCTTAGGAGGGTCCCTGATCCTCCAGAGAGTTTTTCTGGGGGAAGAGTTGGATGTAGGAGGGAAGACAGGAAACTGTGCTTCTGTGAACTTCCTTGAGTTTACTTATCTTACTACCCAAGCCAGTGAGTGCTACATTCATTTTCTAAAAAGATGAATGAGCTGGGTGGTCTACCTGTAGTCTTGTCTTAAACAACAATCAAATGGTATGGACCAATCAGGAACATTACACTTAGTTGTTCAGAGAAAGAAAGCATGCATATATGTTTGTGCACATGCTCAGAATACTGGGTCTCCCTTCCATTTGAGCTATGTTTCGTTGGCGCCTCTTCTATATAACTTTCCCCTCCTTAATCATGATAAATACTTTCCTGTAACTCTGCTTATTGAAGTGAATGACTCTAACCTTACTTTGCATATACCTAAAAGTATATGCGCTCTTCCTTTGTTCTGTTAGTACTCTACTCTCGTACGTTGGAATATTTCAAACTGTGTTATTATATGTACCCTCTTTAGAAACACATGGGACCGAGATCCAGAAAACACATTACTCAGCAGCTCTCTTTTTGATCGCAAGTGTTTTCTGATTTCCAACCACAGGTGTTCCTCCCTGGAATTCAGGTGCTTCTTCATTAAAGCACTAGCCTGCTGAGTAGCATCATTCTTAGCCTTGCAACTAATGGTGTGGCAGGAGATACATTAATTTATACTGTTCCAAGTGGGCACTTTATGCATTTTTAATAAGTCTGAAATTGTATTTCTTTCCCCCCCTCTCTTAATTGTTTTGTTGCACGTAGTACTGTGTTAAAGTCAAAGTAGCTAACATGAGATTGGACTAACTCCAGCTTATTGCTTTGCCTTTTCATGCCTATCTGCAATTTGTCTTGCATAAGTGTTTGTCATGAAAATATGATGCAAGTCGTTGACCTATGGGGTGGCGGAGTCTTTGCAAAATAAGCTTTTGATCTCGAGAAGGTAAAAGGAAAACACAGTATCTTTCTTAATGGGCAGAAAGGAAAGAATTGTTCACTTAAGTAATCTGAACATGGTAGTAGCTAAAGAGTGGGTAATCTTGAAAATGTAATTTTCTATATATCTTTCAGTAAAGTGTGGCCTCTCATTTCAATGTATTTTCTAGACATGATGGATAGTACACAAGCTAACTTACAGACCACATTATATTTAATAGATGGTGCTGTTGGTAGCTGGTGGAAGTGTTATTTTCTCCCATTCTGGTTGCAGTTTTATTCTTTCTAATGGATTAGCTTGGCAGTTAGCTCTGGCCCTTATTTTCTTCATGTTGAGGTGGCATCCGTAGCTGAAAACACCTTTTACTGTTTCTTATATGAGTCTGGTGCACCAGCTCCTACTTCTCTCTAGTCGCAGTTCTTTGTGCCCAGATAACATCTAGGTTAGAGTACTGCTGCCTTTGCCAACCTGGTATTGTCCAGATGTTTGGACTGCAACTTCAATCAAACCCTATCAAGACAGCTGTGCCGGATGGGGCCGATGAGAGTAGTAATCCAAAACACCTAGAGGGCACCATACCTTGGAAACTACATCTGGTTCAGGAAACCTGGAGCTAGATGATTAACTAAGGCTGGTCAATCAGAAGACACATCCTTAGTTTAAAAATAAAAATCATTGGATTCCCTTTTGTTTCTAGGTACAATTCAAAGTTCTGGATTTAACTTTTGAACCCCTATATGACCCTTAGAGCTGGGTATCTGAAGACCTTCTCCAGGATTGTGTAGAGCAGGCATGACCAAACTTGGCCCTCCAGATGTTTTGGGACTACAGTTCCCATCATCCCTGACCATTGGTCCTGTTAGCTAGGGATGATGGGAGTTGTAGTCCCAGAATATCTGGAGGACCAAGTTTGGCCATGCCTGGTGTAGAGGGATGGGAATTCAACAAATCTGAAGATAGCAATAATGATTGTTTGTGGGAGTAGCTTGACAGACTGACATCTTTCAGAGATAGTTATGCGCAGTCAACACTTCTTGCTGTAATACTCCTGTTTTGCTGAATAAATAACATGAGAAGTAGCAATGGGGTTTGTACCCACACTTTCGAAGTTTATTTCCACATTTATTTCAGTAAAGTACTTCACTTTTGTACTGCTGGCACAGTAATTACAGTGAAGATAAAACTACTGCTGTTTCTGTCTGGTTTGTGCCTGGGCGAAGAAAAACAGAGGCCTTCACATTTTTCCACATAGAAAATGTTGCTTTTGAAATGGATATTTAACCACTCCTGATTCTAAACCATCCACACTGTTTCGTTGCATGACTTCCGGGTTGGCGCCTCTGGCAATGGCGGATTTCCTCCAATCGGGAGGAATTCGCTCCGTGGAAAACAGGGTCTGAACCGCCACGGCGAGGCGGAGACCCATCAAAAACCACAGGCGGGAGAAGCCTGTGGACGTGGGATTCGGCCGGCACCTTTGCGCCCCCCCTACTCGCTGGGAAACCCGATTTCGGGGTTCCAGAGTGATGTGGGGTGAGTGGCGCGGTGCCTTGAATCGACTGCTTCTTTCACAGAGTGAAGCCGCATTGCTGTTGCCGGAGAGCGCTGACTTTTTCCTGTGGACAATTGGAGCTTAAATAACCGTCCGTGAGTAGAACGGAAAATTGAAATAAGAAATTTCTTTTAATTTGGCACTGAAGTGGGAAGGTCTAAACAGGAAGTCTGCCTTTCGCTTTTTGTAAATAGATTGAAGCAAAGACACGGCAAGCTAGAGCTTAGAAAATCGTTGTAAAGGATCAATTTTCATCATTTAAAATTACTGAACCCCCCTTGGAAGCAGGAGAAGAGGGGGGAACTTTTTCTGGACTGATTAAACTTGCAGAAGACAAGTAAAGAAAAGCAATTCTCCACCATCCTGAACCTGGGAGCGGGGTGTCAGGACAGACGTCTTCGGGAATTTCATTGACTATAGACAAACGTTTTTGACAGATAGTTAAAAGAAGAGAAACATATTGATTCCATTGTTCCCCTTCGCATCTAAAAGGAACAAAATATTGACAAAATATCTGAAAAAGGAAACTTTGTTGTTAGATTTGCTTAAAAAAAAAAAAGGAGAGAGATGGATACAAATATTAGTTTTTTCCCCTAGAGGTGGCTTGTGAAACTGTTATTAAATTCGAACTGGGGAGCTTTGCAGCTGCAATAGATTAAGATCATGGGAACAGACTCTGACCTTCAACAACAATGTATTCGGAGGCTCTGGTGTTGGCCTTTTGTAAGACAAGTGCTTTATTGGAACAGTTACATGAGAAGATGGATTTGATGACTGTTGGGATCGGAAAGTTTGGACAGGCAGTGGGTACTTATATAGAACCCACTCAGGAGTTAACTCAGGAGTGTGATTTGACAGATCAGATGAGGGAGGAGGCTGTTGCTGGACCTAGTGAGGCAGAGATGGAGGGAACTGTGGCCCAGCAGGAACATGAGTTGTTGGACTTGATGAATGAACCTGGAGAAAGCCAGATTTGGAGAGACAGAGTTCTGTTTGGTTTGGAGATGGGGGGCTGGATAGACCCCCCTATGCAGGGATGTTTTGACCTTTCAAGTCTGGCTTTGGGCTGGGAGGCGTCCGGGGTTGTGCGGGCCCTTAACTTTGGAGGGACTTTGAAACATGTTTTTAAATACCATATGGAGTTCAGTGTTGACTTTGGAAAGGGGGTGATCTGTCGAGAAGGGACAAAAACATTGTCAAGCTGGAGTCTCCCCGAGTGAAAGGAGCAGAAGACAAAGTAAAGCACAGGTATAAATATGAAGAAGATCTGCGGATGGGACATGGAAGAGATCCAAGGGCCTCGGATATAAGGTTACCAGGTTGATGGACTAGATGGATGGGATAGAAAGGACTGACAAAACCCGAGACCAGGAGAAAGAAATGTTGGATGAAGATTGGAAGAAAGTTTTAAACAATTTATTTAGGAAATTTTTGTAAAAGTAAAGAGTATTAGAAAAATGTTGGAATGAAATTATTTGGCTTTAGCAGAAATGTTAAAAAGAATTATGTAAGAATATGTTATGGTTAAGAGAATTTGGTATAAATAAGATTTAAGTTTTAAGTTTTAGGGCCTTTTATGGTAAGATAAGGTTAAAATAGATTAAGGTAATTTAATGACAGAATATTATGAAAGATGGAAAGGATTTGCTGAGATAATTAACAACTAGAATACAAAAAGGGAGGTATGAGGAGGTCGATGAAACAAGGTAATGACAGTTAATGATTTGGGAATATTGGATTTGTTTTTAAATTTTTTGTCTATTTTTGTTTTTTGATTTTGATGTATTATGTGTTTTGTTTTTTTCTCTTTTTGATCTTGTTTTTTTATTGATTCGTATTGTTTAAATGTTACTTGTTTTTTCCTTTTTTTTCTTTGTTTCTTTCTCAATAAATATTATTAAAAAGAAAAGACTCTCTGTAAAGCATTCCTGGATCCTCTGGCAATAAGTTGATAA